ACTTTCCCTTGTTGACTTGGATATGCATAATGTCACTTTAAACAACAAACAATAAATTTTACTTGGCCTTCTCAAAAACTCGTGGAAATCATTTGACATATGATAAAATAATTCAACAGTCTTATTTCAAACGAAACATTCTTGTATTTTCAAGTTCACATGAGATAATTAAGTCTGTTATGTACATTTCTACAATTTAATTAACTTGTCATTTTATATCCTGCAAAGAATGTAAAGGTAGAGTAATCTACCTTTAGAAAGTATCAGGTAAGACCAGAAGAGTTGTTTCCCTTCGAAAAATTAAAAATTTGAACAGTTTTGCAAGAGTTCTGCCCCTTACAGCATAATAACAATTCAACAATCTCGTATCTTGTATTCGTTATAGTAATTCTATTCAAAATATTGTCAAACATTAAATGTGATCTATGAAGTATGCAGTTAATTAACAAAATAAAAGATCTTCTATTCTTAATAGCAATATTCTTTAAAACATTATCAAACTTAAATGCGAAGTATGTAGACAAGAGCTGTCAGAGGAGACAGCCACGCTCGATTAATAAAATACATGCTATGGGGAAAAATTATGATATAAATATATTTCTGTATCAGTATCAAAAATCACTGTTGAGAATGTTCAATATTTTTGCACCACATTATATGAATATGACCATTACAATAAAAGTTTAAAACAGACATATCTATGCTCTAACGGAAAAGAAAACAATCTAAAATCTGAAGAAACAAAAATAAGCAAAAGAAATAAAAACTTTTAAAAGTAAACTTATAAGTTCAAAGAGGAAATAGCCTTTGAAAAAAAGATGCTAGATGAAAAAAAAACCTTGTCATGCATGATGGGACTAGTGACAAAGCTAAAACAATTATCTTAAGTCTAGAGTAGATACCATATACTTGTAGTATAACAATAAAGATAATACCTTAAAAAGTAACAATTTTCTAATACATAATAAAACGAAGATAAATCAACAAAAGCAGGAGCTAGCATACTCATATGACAAAGGTCACAGTTGATAAACATTTTTGGAAGTCTGAATTAAATCCTTGAGGAAATAAAGAAAAAATAAGGAAAATTCTAAGTTTAACGGGAAGTTAATTCGGAAAATATTGACGCTACTCAGTAGAGTTAATGAGTCAGCCTTGTCATATAATTATTATATTGTAGTGGATATGAAACTTAAAAGTAAAGTGTAAAATAAATCCTTTGCAAAATAAAGAAATTAAAGCAAAAAAGTAACAATTTTTATAAAGTAAAACAACAGTAAAATAAACGTTTGTAGAGCAACATCTCAACAACAACACAAATCTTTGTCTCCCAAAGGAAGTTGCTCTGCAGAGGTTGCACTGTTTTGTTTTGGTTGGGTTTTACGTCACACCAAACACAGTATAGTGTCATAATGGCCGCTTTCCAGATTTACTGGAGGAGGAGTACCTAAGGTACCCCCTCTGTACATTATTTCAGGCTCCCAGTTAGAAACATTAACGTTTCGCAAGCTAGATTGGTAGCTTTCTCACAATGTAGAACCCGACACGAACCTACAGTGGCGAGAGGCAAGTACTTTGAGGTCAATGACCTTAACTATTCAGCCACATACCCAAGTAGACCAGTCAATTTGTAACAAAATATGCTAAAATACTTCAGAAAATGGGAAAAGCATCAAACTTGGCACAGATGATAATTAAGACAAAAGAAACATTTTGGGCATGAGATCCATTTTATATATGCCAAGATGGGTGCCATGGCAGCCATTTTTAAAAATGGCCACCGTGACATGAAATTAACACTTTCCTATTTCAGTTTACGCTACTTATAGTTACAATTTTACTTGAAATTATCACAGTTTCTCTTCAGATGAGAGATTTGCATTACTTATAATTAAAAGATACTAGTTTACAACTATAATGTAAGGTTATAAGGTTGTAATGTACTTACAATTTTAAAAAAATGTCCTATACATAATATATATGTAAACTTTTTTTTCTGCAGCAGTACTTTATGTTTTTACAATAATAAAATTATATTTTTTTGCATGCAACACATCACATAGCATGCTCACTCACCCACTCCGTATCAATTCATAGAGCTACATATAATGTTTAATGTCAATTAAGTATCAACTCACATGGAAATCCTCTTATTATACGGACATTAAAACAAAACAATTAGCAGAAACTGCTTAAATTCTATATTTCCACGAATTAGACAATACTTTATGATGCCATTATACTAGTACATGTTTTTTTCCACATTTTTAAACTTGTCAACACTTATTTATTTCCTTCAATGAAACATTGTGGTAAGCACACAAACCGTCAACGATGGTGTTAGACACATATACCATTATAATATCTGTCGTACTTGAAGTTCTTACTTCCGGTAATCATACACACACTGTATTTATTTTCCTCCGCGAATTGCACATTATTCCTTATAAATCGTTTTTCTTAAAGTTCCTTTATGTTGTAATTAAGGTTGTATACACACTTAAGTGAAATTTTATATATGTAATTATGTTTCTAAAACAATTTTTCAAGCATCGAAGAATATGTTAAATATGCACTGCAAATATTTGTCCACATTATATGCAATCATTAAAATATATGCATTCATTTCTTATTGAAAAATTAGACTTAGACTTTATAGAAAATATATTTCTAATTACCTCTCTTTATTAACAAGAAATGTAAATTCGGTAATATATTTACAAATAATGCTTTTCGGAACTTACAATATTGATACATCTTCATTTGAGCATTATATATATATATGATATAAAACCATAAAAATGAGTTTACAGGATCTTTTTAGAAATGTCAAACATGTGTTTAATATAATGGATTTAGGGCAGATAGTTTTTAAAAGATCCTGTATGTTATAATTGAGGTTGTATACCTTACTCAAGTGAAATTTTAAATATGTATATAATTATGCTTATAAAATAATTTTCAAACATCGAAGAATATGTAAAATATGTACTGCAAATATTTGCGCACATTATATGTATGTAATCATTAAACTATATGCTTTTATTTCTTAGTGAAATCATTTGACTTAGACTTTATAGAAAATAAATTTCTAATTACTTCCTTTTTTGCATGAAATGTTAAATTCGGTATAATATCTTTATAAATAATGCTATTTGGAACTTACAATATTGATAAATCTTAATTTGAGCATCATATATGATATAAAACCATAAAAATGAGTTACGCAGGATCTTTAATTCTTTAGAAATGTCAAACGTGTGCTTAAATAATGGATTTAGGGCATATAGATGTTGTTTACAACTGAAGAAAGTAAGTAATGTGTCATAAAGGTAGCAAAATGTAAACAAAATGGTATTTTGACTTCCATACAAAATACTAATTCATTACAATAATACCGATGATTGCCAACAGAGCTATATATGCAAAAGACAGTCAATGTACTATATGGCAAATGAGAATTACTTTGAAAACTGTAACAAGATACCAAAAAACTTTAAGTTTTTGAGAACTTCAATGTGAATCATTTCTGTGATAGTGCCATTGGCGGAGGAAAATAAATACTGCGGTAAGGTCAGCCTTATAATTATGTTTGTTTCCCTCCCGCAACATTTGCAAGTTTGGGTAGGGTAGGTTGGTAGATGAAAAAAAATTATCATATCAAAAAAAAAAAAAAAAAAAAAAATAGAATAAAATTCCCTGTCTAAAATTATAGCGAATTCAAAAAACTAATTGTGAATGCTGAGCATCTGTCTAAAGTTGAGAATCATATTTTCAAATTTTTATTCAACATAATAATATCCCAGTCGGTATATTTACAATTAAAAAGCATGAGGCAGACATGAAGATAAAGATGCGATTCTCATTGACAGACTATGCTTCAATGTTTAGTAAAAAAAAAGGTAGCTGTGTATTTGTTGGTAGGTAGCGGAAGGTTAAACAAACAATATTTTATTTATTGCTGCAAACCCTGTAACACGTACAGATAAAGAAGGAGCAAATTTATGTAAAGTATAATATTAGCATATAATTAATATTATATATAGGAATTGGTATTATCACGGATTTATATATAAACCTGTGGTATTATCAAAGAGCTATGTTTAATATTTTATCTGTAATTTAGGTCTCTGATTAACCCATTACCAGATCTAAACGCCTTTCTACGCTTTTTCACCCCCCCCCCCCTTTTGCTTTCTCAAATGGTGAAAAAATGCCTTATTTAGGCCCCCAAACACTTGTTTTTGTTTGAGAAATGTTGTTTAAAAAATTGACCACTTTTTCGGCGCCGTCCCCCATTCAAAAGATACATCAGGGGGTTGCCAGAAGGTGGATGTGCCCCCTTCTGTTTGGGGGTTTGAAGGGGGGCGGAGTCCCCCTCATCGCAAAGAAAATTTTGGACTTGTGAGAGGCTAAAAATGACCCCAGGTCGATCATAAGGTAACGTGTAACCAATGCTGAAAAGCCTTTGACGCTACCTCAATCCATTGAGAAGTGGCAGCACTTTAAAATCAATTTTGATGGAAAAAATCAACGCAAAATAGTGATTTTTGGCAATTTTGAGATGTCCCCTAGTTGCCATGGTAACAGGAAATTTAAGACTGAGCATGTTGTTACAAAGGCAATGGTCCAGTTAACATTTGTGCCAAGTTTGATTAGTGTTGAAGCAGTTTTAATAGTTTTATAGCAACTTGAACTTGTAACGGGAGACTTTTCAATGAAAACAGCCAATTTTCACAAAATGCTCAAGGGGTAATGGGTTAATGAAAAAAATCAAAAAATCTACAAAACAACAATTTTTCCTCAAAATTATATGTTAGGCAATGTTCTAACATGGAAAAACGCGGTTTGAAATTGGGTAATTTCAGGTATTTTCTGTTAAATGCACTGTGGTATATGCTGGAAACGCATGATGAAATGTGAATTTTACCAAAGCTACAAGTCCGTACAAAGTCTGACGGTATTTAGCCGTTACTTTAACCGACCGTTATTTACGGCATTTAGCTGTATATTGTTGACGTTTTGCGATAGCCTCCCTTGGCTTTCTCCTTGCAGAGAAAATGCCATTTACAGAAACTTTCAACCTTCCTGCTCGTGATGAGCTCATGATGCAGGAAATTAAATTAACATTTCCTGCTATGAAAGCTGCTAGTTTGCACATGGGCAAATATTGTGATGATCAAAGTAAAGTAAGAAAACCTTACCTTTACATGGTGGGTGGGATGAATTTATTTCAACTGAAATTTCAGACAAATGTAATATTTTCAAGAACCACCAAAAGTTCAGGGCATTTGGTAACAATTAATTCCTCTTTACCTATCTTCCATTAATGTCAAACCCCTCGCGAGGTCATATACATGACTCTAGATTTCACAGATAGCTATGAGATACAAGGGAATGTGGAACCAGTCCCTAGCTTTTATTGAATTATGAATAGACCCCTTGGTTCATTTACATGCCTAGTGAATAGCACTGATACATGCTAGGATTACCTGGATTTCTTACCAGTACACCTATAGGTAGATGGGAAACACTGAAAGTGTCTAGGGTGTTTCCCAGGATCAAACTCGCGACCTCAGGAGTGACTGTGACAGTCGGTGATCTAACCAACTGAGCTTAGTGGACTATCGGGCTACATCTAACCAACTGAGCTATTGTGCCATAAATTAGGTGGTTTTTGAGCATGATTTATATATTTCGTCTCTGTATATATACTCACAGGAACTTGAAATTTAATCAATAGATCACAAAATATGCGTGTATTAGTGATATAGCCCTTATCTCTATATAAAAAACATAATAGAGATAAGGGCTATATCACTAATATACGCATATTTTGTGATCTATTGATTAAATTTCAAGTTCCTGTGATATACTTGATGTTTTTTTACATTTTCATTTTACAATATTGTTAGAGGCAGCAATTTGAGTTTAGGAGTCAATCAAAGTTTGTTTTAGCATATTTATTTAAGCTTGATTGCAAAACAAGTCCTTGCAACTTATATTAAACACTTTTGAGTCCGCTTCCTGGAAGCAACCAGTACTGAGTGATGTCATATGAAGAAACATGCTCGTGACTCGAATGATTTTTTTCCCCAATTTTAAAACAACCTATGGCTTTCTGAAGGGGAAAATATATACATGTATAACCAAGGCAAAATCTTGAAATTGCACCATCTTAGATGACCTTGACTCGGTGACCTGGTTCATGTGCATGACATATGAACATAAAAAACTCAACTTGTGTTATTTGAAAATTTCTCCATGCACAAAGAAGTTATGGCATGGACAAGTTTGGATGCACATGCAAACAGTGCACAATTTATTTTGTCAATTATGTCAAGCTCAGCGCAAACGGGCATAACAAAAATCCTCTGACCACTAAGCACAATACTTCAAAGCTTAAGTAAGATACACTACAGTGTTGACAACCATATTTTGATGTTTTTATTTGACCTTTGACCTCTTGTGACTGTGACCTTCATTTTGGGCAGGACAACTAAACTGACCATGGTGAACATTTGTTCTAACTATATCTTAAGTTATGTTAAAATCCATCCATGTATATAGAAGTTATACTAGCAACTGAATGTTTTATTTTGTTATTTGACCTTTTTATATGCCCAAAAGAATGTTATACCCCCTGGCGTCTGTCCGTCTGTCTATCTGCACTCACAGGACAGTAATTATGTGGCTAGAGGGATAATAGGTAACTGTTCTTTCTCTTTGAAGTCATTCATTCCGTAATGCTTTCATGTGGCTATTTTCTTTTGTGTGGCTAAAAAGAACAATAGAGAGAACAATAGAGTAGCCACATTATTATTCTCCTTTTAGAACTTCTGTCAGTCAGTCTGTCCGTTAGCAATTTGGTTTCCGGAGCATAACTCAAGTTCCATTTGGCCCACAGTGTTCAAACTTAATAGGATGATTGTCCATATTGGGTAGAAGACCCCTATTGATTTTGGGGTCACAAGGTCAAAGGTCACTATGACCTTAAAACTGAAATCAGTTTCCGAAGCATAACTTAAGTTCCATTTGGCCCACAGTTTTCAAACTTAATAGGATGATTGTCCATATTGGGTAGAAGACCCCTATTGGTTTTGGGGTCACAAGGTCAAGGTCACTATTAGCTTAGAACTGAAAACAGTTTCCGGGGCATAACTTAAGGTCCATTTGGACCACAATATTGAAACTTCAAAGGAGGATTGTTTTGTGAAGGAGGTAATACTTTATTTAATTCCCATGTCTTACAAATGCTTCATCTTTACTAAAAAAAAAATCACTTTTGGGCATAGAATGCTCCGCCTTGCGGTGCTCTTGTTTCCCTAAGTATGACCTTTACCTTTAACACAGACACCTGAATTTTTTTGTGCAACACTCCGCTTCACTATGGAGAACATTTATCCCAAGATATATCAAAATCCCTCAATGCATTCATACGGAAGTTACGCTTTGGACACAGATTTTGCGCTAACTTCCAAGTTTGAACATGACCTTTGAGAGGCCTGGGTTTTGTGTGCAACGCACCACCCCATTATGGTGAACATTGTACCAAATTATTTTGTAATCCTTCAAAGAATGATTAAGATACAGGGCCAACAAACAAATTTTAATATTTTGACCTTAGACCACTTGTGACCTTGACATTCATTTTGTGTGATACAATTCAATTCAACATGGAGAACATTTATGGTAAATTATATCAAAATCCATCCATGTATAAAGAAGTTATACTAGTCTTGAAAATGAAAGTTTTATTTTAAATGCAAGTTATATTGCAACTGTTGCCAGCGATGGTTTAGCATTGATGAGTTACTTCTTGTTTTCAGGAGTTCATGTTGTGTAAGTCAGAGAATGGGAAAGATCCACGTCCATGTTTAAATGAGGGCAAAGAGGTTACCCGTTGTGGTATGGAGTTCTTACAGAAAGTAAAGAAAAGCTGCGCAGAAAGCTTCACTGACTATTGGAAATGTCTTGATACGCAGCATGAATTAAAATTTAGATTGTAAGTAATTAACTGCACTTTATTGATTTTACTTAATTTAATTGATTTTGAAGTTTTTCTGACCTGATGCTCTATACTTTTGACAACGCAATTTTTGTATTTTTATACTATTTTTAACCAGGTTTTCCGAAGGAAAAAACTGATTATTAGATTGAGGTATGTCGGCAGCGGGCGGGCCGACGGACGGGCGGGCGTAAACAATTTCTTCTGTGCGCAACTCCTCATACATTTCTCAAAAGATTTTGACCAAACTTTCACAGAAGCTTTGTTATCAAGTGCCCTGGCGCATATTGTCAGGGTTTTGTGATTGGATAATATTTGACCTAATTATGGCCCTTTGTTTTTTTCCTTATATAGAATATATAGTAAACAATTTCTTCTGAGTGCAATTCCTCCTACATTTCTCAACAGATTCTGACCAAACTTTCACAGAAGCTTTGTCATCAAGTGCCCTGATGTATATTATTAGGGTTTTGTGATTGGATAACAATTGACCTAATTATGGCACTTTGTTATTTTTCCTTACATAGAATATTGTGATTGGATAACAATTGACCTAATTATGGCACTTTGTTATTTTTCCTTACATAGAATATACAGTGAACAATTTCTTCTGTGCGCAGCTTCTCCTACATTTCTCAAAGGATTTTGTTCAAACTTTCACAGAAGCTTTGCCATCAAGTGTCCTGATGTATATTGTTAGGGTTTTGTGATTGGATAATTTTTGACCTAATTATGGCCCTTTGTTTTCTTTATGTGAACAATTTCTTCTGTGTGCAACTCCTCCTACATTTCTCAAGGGATTTTGTTCAAGCTATCAAAGAAGCTTTGTCATCAAGTGCCCTGATGCATATTTTTGGGGTTTGTGATTGCATAATTTTTTACCTAATTATGGCCCTTTGTTTTCTTTGTACAGAATATATAGTGAACAATTTCTTCTGTTGCGCAACTCCTTCAACATTTCTCAAGGGATTTTGTTCAAGCTTTCACCTTCAAGTGCCCTGATGCATATTGTCAGGATTTTGTGATTGGATAAGTTTTGACCTAATTATGGCCCTTATTATGTTTTTTCCATAAAATTTAATTATTAGTGTAATATATCCTTTTAATCACAACAAACTTTATTAAGTTATAAAACAGAAACTCTTTAGGTTGTTGCATGCCTGCCAGCTCATCTGCCTGCTTTTTGGTCCTGTAATGTCAAAGTCATTGTTGCTTAAAATAGAAAATCTGTTTCCAGTCAGGTCACTGTTACAAAAATAGAAAATAGGTTTCCGGTCAATAACTAGTTCACAATAAGATATTTTTATGAAATTTGATGTAAAGTAAGTTTTTATAAAGACCTCACTTGGGATGGCTTTTTGGCCCCAATAGGGTCAAGATTACAGTTACTAAAAATAGAAAATTCATTATTAATGATTTACATTGCACATAGTTAACTTACATTGTTTGTTGCTTGTATTTGTATTTCAACTACGACATATTTATCTACAATGGTGATAATTGAAAACCTGGTTTCATGGCATTGCCATGTTTCTTGTTATCCCTTGAACTTTGAATGGGCTTCTCCATATTCAAAGATGGGTTAATCTTGAGCACAGATTCAAATTTTTAGGTTAAGGGGTCAAGTATTTAAATTCTTCTGCTGATTTTGGAACCATTGAATAATCACTCTTATGTATTCTGATATTGACACCGCAGAATAGGGCAGGAAGGTAACGATCTGCGGCTACATGAAGAATTGATTTGAGTACATCAGATGCGAAGAATTATATTACAAAAATTCACAAGACTCAATACTAGGTCAAGGTCAGCAGAGATTATTAAATGTCGAAATTTGTAGGGAGAATAAATGTGTTCTAAGTGCAAGGATGCCATGGATAGTAAAATTATTTGATACAAATGATTACTGCTATGAAAAATAGCACCCAGAAACCAGGTTTCTTGATCAAAGGTCAGGTCACAGTAAGAGGTCAGACAAAATACTTGTCCATAGTAAAGCTCCTCCAATTATTGAGGGATTATAATACACATTGGCACAAATTTTCACCTTTGTTATAGGAGGAATATTACTTGCATATTCAGGTCTCTAAGGTTAAAAGTCAGATAAAAAATATATATAGTCTCAAATGGAGGAATTATACTGTATCAAAAATGTTCAAAATCACAATCATGAGTGTTAACAGCATAATCATTTTTTTCAAGGTCATTGTATGCAAGGTGCAGACTATGTCTGAGCCATTCATGTATCTTCTTATATATTAAGTATTAAATTGATAAGAAGTTAGACGTCATCACAGAAAAAGTGTTGCGCATATAAAAGTAGTCTTAAAAGAAAATGCTTGTTAGGAGAAAAACTTCTACAAGAATTTTAATGTAACTCTGCACAATTTTCACCATTGTGAAAGAAGCCCCTTGTGGCTGAGAGGTTGGGTTCAATGGTTGAGGCAAAAGAATCGCAGCAACCATTTATCAGTAATTATCATTGTGTGATTGTAAAAGGCGACTAAATGGGATAGAATAACTGGAGCATATGCATCTCTTAGCTCCAGCAGGTCAGGTTGTTTTGAACTCTGTTTGTAACAACCGAGGTTAAACAAAATCATCTTTCCTTTTTTGTTGCCATATAGCCTGTGCTGTGTTGTTGTGCTGTAAAACCAAACATTTAACAAATGAAATTGTGAAGCAGTGTTTTGTGCAAAAATTCAGGTCATAAGGTAAAGGTCACCTGCAGAGGTAAAAAGTTGGACAAGAAATATGAAAACATGTATCTGTAGACAGACATAACAGTGGAATGTAGTGTCATGGGGACACATTTCTAGATTAATAACTCTTTTGATGCTAAATATTATGACCAATGTAAGGTATTTGTGCAGATTTTTGATAATCTTTAGAAACAAGTCTGTGTTGATATTTTTGGATTTTCTTTTAGTCATGCAATATATAAATATAACTACAACTAAGTAATGAATACATTAAACATGTATTTAATTATCTTAGGATATTTTTAGTCTCATTTTTTGTAACAATTAACATTTTTGCAATGTTCTCAACAGAGGTGTTTACTTGACTCAAAAAATGCCTCCAGATTCATGCTAAAAATGTTTTAAAGAATAAAAGATTGTCATATGAACAAAGAAATTTACGCATAAAAACAGCTTTTAAAATCTATGACAATGACCAAAAAATGGTCAAAATACATGTATGCAAAAAGTTCTGCAAGGAAGTAGTAACATGGTGGTTAATACTGCAAAATCAGTCATTAATACCATGTAACATGTTAAATTATTTCTTGAATTGTTAATGTTTTTACTTTTCTTAACATCTTGGTACACTTTTTGTCAAGGTTGATTTTCTTGAAATATTTTGGCTGGAGGCATGTAGCTTTAACCAGCTGGACAGAAAGCCAGATTAGCCTTTCGTCACTGGTATAGAGCTAGGCTGGCCTGCATTTCTATGTAGTCAGACCAGCTATACACTGTTGATCGACTAACTTGATAATTTCATCTAAAATAGATAGCCATGGAAAGCGAGTGTAAGAAATCCATCAGGTTATTAATAGTTAATTTGTTGTTCTTTTTTCTATTCAGTTGTAGGAAATATCAGACCATATTTGACAATTGTGTGGAGGAGCAAATAGGACTAACTAGACCCGATATAATGCACTTTATGAAGATTCGCCTACATAAAACGAATAGACCGAAACCTGAAGAGCCAGAATTACCTGCCCCGTTAGCAGATCCAGATCTTAACAGAGAACCTAGTAATCCACACTACAGACGCTACGGCTTTTCTAAATAATTTCTTGGACAATTTCGAAACTGTATTTCTGAAAAGAAATAATATTTGAGTAAAGAAACAATACACGTATTTCAGGATGCAAAGAATTATGGCCGTGTAGGGTGTTTGATTGTTTTTGTTATGATCTTAAATATGTACATTTATACTTACATGTATTTGATTGAATGTCAAAAGTGCTTTCACATGTTTTCAAAATTTTAACATTTAGCAAACAAGTTACATAATGATATTTTTCAGGTTTTTACAAGATTAAAAGAGATTTCAACAATTGAGAAAAAGTGTGCTGTATTTAGTTAAAAGTTATCAAGTTATTTGAAAAAACATGTGCTATATTATAAACTTACAAGGTTTTTTATTGATTATAAAATATTTATAAATGGAAGAAGTTGTTTATTTTATTCATCCTAATGTAACTTGTTAATTACCCTGTAAGCAATTTCTGGTATTTTACTTGGTCTGCATTGAACTTATATATATACGAATACGAATTTGAACTTATATATATGGCCTTTGTAAATCAATCAGGTTTTCAATTTTGAAAAAGCTTGTTATTAGATTGGTGTATGACGACAGGTGCTCGGATAGAGGTCGAACAGGTGATTCTGATCCATAACTAGCAAGCATTTCTTAGTGTCACCATGGGTCAGATTATCAGACTTGTTCCCAATTGCAAAACTTTAATTACTGCTTTGTTTCGCATAAAAACTGTTTTCTTCTTCTTCAAAAAAAAATCCTAATCAAACTGAAATTTCTAAAATCAAAACTGACTAATTTGCAGAAATTTATTTTTTTATCATTAGGAATGAAATATTGTAATCAAACTATGGTATATGGCAAGCTTGTGCATAGACCTCACTTTGGATTGCTATAGGGTCCCCTAGGGTCAAGGTCACTAAAAAGAAAATAGGTTTCCATGCTAACAGTGTGCATACTGTGACAGCAAGGTTTTACACAGCCACCCCCAATGAAATATCCACAGCTGCTGCAGGAGATACGGATGTCCGTCCTGGTCCTTCATTTGGCATGAAGCATCAGCTTGTGGTCTTTTACAAAAGTAAAATGTTTAATGCAGTCTACTTCTTTTGAGAAATTACAATGCCAAGAGTTGAGAGATTTGGCATGTACAATGTTATGCTGACAAAGAGTGAAATATTTTTACAAGACATGGGTTTTAAATTGTATCAATATTCTAATTTTAGAATCAGTATTAAATCAACTGTTTAATATCTACAGGGTTATTTAATGACAGCCCTATCTACAAGTTTATATATAATATATTATGTTCCTGAGGTCAAAACTGACCAAACCACGAGGATCAATTAGTTTATGCACACATTTAGAATGATATTTAGACCTTGTGGAAAACTACATGTATAATGCACAGTGCTTTTATATTGATTACATATCAATACTTAACAGTGAAGTAATATAGTTTTTGCCAGATTTTTTTTATGCTGCAGCATTTGTGATGCAGTGGCATATAGCAATTCACATGTGTTACACATGTGAATTGCTATATGCCACTGCATCGCAAATGCTTAAGTGTTTAGTGTGTAATATAGTGAACTTAAAAAATCTTCTTGTGAAAAACCACTAGTCCAATTTAAACCAAACTTGTCAGGATTGTTCCTTGGGTGAAGGGCTTCCAAATTTGTTAAAGAATTCGATTCCATGCAATTATCTGGTTCACAAGATCCTATAGCATAGATATTTTGCATAAGTTAAAATTGGCCCTGCAAAGGTCAATGTTATATGTGAATTTCTCAAATTAAATGTTTAATCCAAGTATAAATAAAGTACATGTACAGCTGTACATCAATTAATAATATGAATTAAGAGAAGCACTGACAGCCTGACAACCAGATGGCTGCACAGTCTCAAACAAGTATACCCCCCTTACAATTTGTGTTCTAAAATATTTATATTATTGCTTTTCAATGCTGAACTGAAAAGTGGGCCAAAAAATTACTTAACTGTGATGAACGGTACATAAATTTTATTTTTAATGTCAAAACACAGAAATTTCCTAGAAAATCATAATAGATATACATAAGAACCTGGAACTTCTTTATTGTGAAATTAAAAACTTACCTTATCTTAAAAATTTCAAACATTTATTATGCGAACAATTGTTTAAAGGAAATACAAAGCTGAAGTTTTGAGAATGTAATAAAATCCACAGCATTTTTTTACAGCACGTCATTAAGAAACGTCCACAATTAGTAATTCCATTTTAGACCTTACATTGAATACTGGTCTAAAAGTAAATCATTTACTTCTGCAAATTTAGATATTGTTTTTTTAAAGCTCTTTTTACCTAGAAATGCCCACAAGTACTCCCTATTTAAGATTCTAACATCGAAGACTGATCTTAAAGTAAATTTTTTCAACTTCTGCAGATTTTCGTTTTAATCAATACATATAGTCGTTACACAAATCACACTTTCATATCGTTAAAAAGTTTGTTGAGATCTTTTTCTTCTTTCTCGATCATCTCAAAAGCTTTCAAAACAGCGTCTGAAAATTGCACGTCTTCTTTAAACAACAGATAATTGAGTATCAGTTTTGGGGCATGTAGTTTATAAACTGATTTCTTTGAAAAATATGAACATTTCATCAATTGTAAAACAATAATCTTCCGACATTGACTCTGTAGACTGTGTACCTCACCTAAAATAGATGAAAATAAAGTTTTATTACATATACCTGCACTGTATACGAGTGTCACTAAGGTTTGTTGATATACCTTCTCATGGCAAATATTATTTCAGTAAAATTTCACTAAAGTAATTATACTGATTTCATACAAAGTTATTATTGGAGATTGCAAAACTTTAAAATATAAATAATGATTGTAATTGATTGTAATTAAAGTGTTGGGCCATGTGGTTAAGGTTGTTGACCTCAAATCACTAGCTCCTTGCTGCTGTGGGTTTTAATGGCATCATGGACCTTGAATTCTTTCAAGTGAGGTATCCAGTTAACTTATGGAACATCGATGGTTCTACTTGGGTGCTCAGTTGTGCTTGAAATAATGCACAGAAGGGCACCTGATGCCTTCACATAACCTTTATAACACAATCCAAAAAAAAATGTTTATGAACACTTTTTTTTATGAACACAATTTATATCATCTAGTAGATAGAAAATAAATATTTCATGAGTGGCAAATACTAATATTTGATCATTTTCATACCACAAGATGAAAACAAGAAACATGGCAATGCCATGAAACCAGGTTTTCAATTATCACCATTGTAGATAAATATGTTGTATTTGAAATACAAATACAAGCAACAAACAATGTAACTATGTGCAATGTAAAACATGAATAATGTAGGAGGAATTGCCACTGAAGAAGTGTTCACTATAATATTATGTATAAGGAAAAAAACAAAGGGCCATAATTAGGTCAAAAACTATCCAATCACAAAACCCCGACAATATGTGCCAGGGTGCTTGATGACAAAGCTTCTGTGAAAGTTTGAACAAAATCCGTTGAGAAATGTAGGACGAGTTCAGCACAGAAGAATTTGTTCACTATAATTATATTGATAATTCTGTATAATGAAAAACAAGTTACAAAGTAGACATGAAATAATATATCATATCTTTTTTAAATTACCTCCAAAGATGATATGACCTTTGACTGCCAAATCAAGTTAAAATCATGTAAACAGGATTTTCAATGTTAATGTCACTGTGACCTTGACCTTGGAGCCAGCCATGCGGAACATGCGTTCTGCACGTCATCTTGATGTGGTAAACATTTGTCTGAAGTTTCATCAAAATTCTTCAAAGGGTTGAAGAGTTACAGAGCGGACAGGATTTTCAATGTTAATGTCACTGTGACCTTGACCTTGGAGCCAGCCATGCGGAACATGCGTTCTGCACGTCATCTTGATGTGGTAAACATTTGTCTGAAGTTTCATCAAAATTCTTCAAAGGGTTGAAGAGTTACAGAGCGGACAGGATTTTCAATGTTAATGTCACTGTGACCTTGCCCTTGGAGCCAGCCATGCGGAACATGCGTTCTGCACGTCATCTTGATGTGGTAAACATTTGTCTGAAGTTTCATCAAAATTCTTCAAAGGGTTGAAGAGTTACAGAGCGGACACAATTTCGTTTGACGCCCGCCCATCCGCCCAGCCGCCCATCCGCCCATCCGCCCGCCATACCCCAATCTAATAACCAGGATTTTCAAAATTGAAAACCTGGTTAATAATCCTGTATTTATAAACTTGAATTTTCTATTTATTATACATGTATACACTGTTTTACCAAATTTTCTGTAAAATTATTTGTTTCCACATGATAGCTTTTGACTAAGTTTATATTTGGCATGCCAGTAAGCATATTAAAAGACAAGTTTGATTTTCGGTGCAATCAAAATATTATTGAAAGAGTTATGCCCCTTTTAAAGCAAATTTTCTATAAAATTATTGGTTTCCCCAAAAATAACTTTCACAGCGAGTTTTCTCAAAGATAACTCAAAGGATTTACACTGAAGGCATTTTTTGTCAGCGATTTTGTCTTTTATTTGCTTTTGGGCTTTATAATGTTGCCCCAATTTTTAGCAGAGCTCTTAACTGAATGCTTTAATATTCAAAATACAGTAATGCTATATCTATGCACAAATTTGGCAAAAAATGCTTGAATTAAAGCATTACTTTTTAAAGTAATTCACCCATATCAGACAACAGTTGTACATCTTCTTTCACCATCAAACAAAAAATCCAGCAAATTATGTGTCACAGACTTGTAAGAGTGTCTTTACCTGAATTAAGCATATTCTTAAATTCTTTTCCCATTTTCTCTTTTAGTTTTTCTTCTCTTTTGACAGTTGCAGTATATGTAGTCAAATATAACTGTAGTTTACGTATACAAGATTGCTTCACTGGAATATTACAAACAGACGTGTCATCATCCAAAAGTCTGAAAATTAAAATTGCAAGCATCGAGAATATTTTCAGATTCATTTCTAAATCCAATGTGCATGCAACATTTTTCTACTCATCTCTTAAATTCTTCACTTAATTACAAGCAGACAAGGGGATTTTTTTTAAAAATCAAAGAGAGGTTATCAAAATTCATTGTGAAATCCTAGAGAGGTTATTAAACTCATTGTTAAATCAAAGAGAGGTTATCAAATTCATTGTGAAATCCTAGAGAAGTTATTAAATTCTTTGTGAAATAATAGAGATGTTATTAAATTCAATGTGTTATCAAATTCATTGTGAAATCATAGATGTTTTTAATTCATTGTTAATTTATAGAAAGGTTATTAAATTAATTGTGAAATCATAGAAGGGTTATTAAATTCATTGTGAAATAATAGAAGGGTTATTAAATTCATTCACTGTGAAATCATAGAGGTTATTAAGTTCATTATGAAATCATATACCAGAATTAAAGAATTAATACTGAATGTTGTAAAGAGGTAATACAGTTCTACTAAGGGCAGCACTGTGGAGGTTACACTGTATATACCATTTGCAAAGTACAATGTTATCTGGACACTTACTTGTGTGTGTCAATAATTCCCCTACTGCTATTTCCTTTCACTGTATACTTCAACATAGCACAGAAATACCCAAGAGCGCATGGTGCCATAGAAACATGGTCAAGCCAATATCTGGGAAAGTGAACATTTACACCAAGTCTCAACATTAATATGAATACAGGAAAATACTTATAACCATTCTCAATAACACATCCAATGCATTTCCGTAATGCAAATTCATCCCTTCTTAAACACTCCTCTAAGAATGGTCTAAACTTTTTTGTTAAAAGCACTGCAGGTCTTGTCCTAATATCAAAACTAAAGGGATTTCTTTCTGCCAGGTAGTTCAAGTTCTTTTCTCCACTATAAAGATTTGAAAAGAATGGATTGCCAAGAAGAATTCTGAGGCACTCTTCGGAGTCTAGACTTGCTGCTATAGCTACAGGGTTAAAGTTTACTCTTATTTCAGGATCAAAATCATTCATCTCCCATATGAAATTTGTAAGATCAGTTGCAGGTGTTAAGATCTCAACACATCTGAAAAAAAGTTGAATCTGTATGTAAATAAACTAAAACCAGCAAATAATAAGAAAATACAACTATCTTATACAAATATGGATAGAAAATGTATGAACAAAATATATGATCCTCGACCTAATTTGAAAATTCAATGACTTGACCTACTGGCCCAAATACCCACTTAGAAAGTTCTTTGACCTACAGACCAACATTTACTACTATCAAGTTCTTTACCCTTCTGACCAAAATAGTCAATGAGCAAGTTTGTTGAATTGATATTCCCAAACGTACAATGAGACTCACTTGAATGAATGAATGAATGAATGGCAATAGAGAATAAGTACAGTAGCCACATAAGTATCCTCTAGGAAGTTAATTAAGTCAGACAAACAGAATATCCCTTTTTTCGATTTTTAATGGCAGGGGATAATAAGAAAGATTCTTGACCTATAAATCAAAATAAATACTAGAAAATACCTTAACCTACTGACCCATCTATACACTTTGATAGTTTCTCAACCTACTGACACAATTACTCAATTACAAAAAGTCCTTGACCTACTTACAGAAATCATTATTTAAAAGTTCCTCGACCTACTTACTTAAAACGCAAATTTATAATATCCGATAATAAATGGCAATATTACTTTTTTGTCACAAGTTAATACCATTCTATTGTTGGATCTTATTTGACTCTCAATCACCTTGACTTTTGATCTGTTTGCTACAAAAAGTCAAGGTCACTTAATGACCTAATTTTTATAATTGAAAATTCTATAAAATCTCACAGAAAACACTTGCCACTTACTGATGAAAAAAAGAATGGTCAGTCATGACCAATATAAAATACTTACTCCTTGTTACCTCTATATAAAGCCAACAGTAGGGGTGTATAGAGAAAGCCTGGTTTTATGTCTTCAGCACTTATACCAAGATCAGCATCAGCTCCATTTTGAAGCAGGATTCTGACACAGTCCACATTATCATTCTGCGTGGCCAGGTAAAGTGGAGTAGCTAGGTCAAAGGCTGCTTTGTTCACAAGCTCTTTCTTGAATACATTCCCTACAATTCATATAACAAACAAGACCTGTTAGTGGGACTGCATGCTTGAAGATTCTAAGTGCTGGATAGTAAAACAAGAGCCTGGATAATGTATTTTTTTTAAGTTATACTCGTAAAAAGGGCTATAATTCTGTCAAAATCAAAGTTAGAGTTATTCGCTTTGGAAATTTACCTTCCATTATGCTCTAAAATAGGTATGTGAAGTTTCAACCAATTTTCTTCAATAGTTTTGGAAATAGCAACTTGCACACAGACACTTAACCAAAGTGTGATACTGATGCCTCTGTGTGATAGCTCTCTCTTTTTCTTAAAAAAATCGAGCTAAAAATCACTGATAAATGTATTATAATGTGACATTATTATTTTATCTTACAACTTGTGGTGTATTATGTATTCTATTGCCAACTCCTAACATGCATATTGGGAAAAAAATTATAACTTACAAAATTACAAGACAGAATAAGCATACCTATTAATCAAGTTATCCTTTTAGAATTTACTTTGTTTCATGTGCCTGCAGTATTGTCATGCTGGTAAAATTGTATCCATAATGCAGCATGATTTAAGCATTTCAAGGAATTATCGTGGTTAATGAAATTTGTGACTTTTGTTTATTTAAAGCACCAGACATTTATTTATATATTTGGGTTTTAAGTCACTCCGCCACTCATGTACTGTAATCATATGTTAATTTCCAATTTTACTGATAGAGGACTACCTCATGAGATCAGGTACTCCATATGCAATATTTAATACATAAATGGGGACCTTAGTAGAACCACTGACATCCTGTAACCTATCTTAATGGCTTCCTTACATGATGAAAGATTGTAAAGTTCTTTGCGAGATTCAAATTAAGGGCTTAAGTCAAATAGCTTGGCCAGAGATGCCCCTGAACATCAGACATTGTGATTCATAGAGATGCCATTTTAGAGAAGGATTCTGACAGTCAACATTTTCATTTTCAAATGTTAGCATCTCAAACAGTTATTACTGTCTTTTTTATGAGGGAACAAACAGTTGTAATTCGTAAGTCTGAAAATTATGCTTTAAAAGCACCTGGTAAAATTACTAATCTTAATACAATGTATCTGCAAATGATAATTATAGGCATTTATACTACTTTGATTACCTCTATCATGAGCACAGGTTAATATATACTGTAAACATTTTGTCCTTCCGAACTGGGCAGCAGTAAATACAGCAGTTAGACCAGATTCATCTTGTAAAGTAAGGTTTATACCAGCCTCCACCAAACATTTGACCAATAGTAAACTGTTACTATCGTCATGGTGATGTATCACCGCATGTAATGCTGTATCTAATGTGTAGATTTTTCCATTTACATTGGCACCCGCACCCAGTAAAAGCTTCATACATTCTAAACTCCCGTTAACTGATGCTGGAATGTAATTAGCATTATCAATTTCCTTAAATCCTTTCATACAAGGTTACTTATTAAACCATTATATCATAATATACTGTGAATTCACTAAATTTCGTTAACATGAAATTTTGTGATTTTGTCACAAAGAACATTTTCGTGGGTTATAAAATTTGTGAACTGTTTATTTTTCCAAAAGGTAAAATGTAAATTATGTCATGCAAAATATATTTTCAGCAGATGAAATAAAATATTGTTGGATCTTGAACTTTTTTAATTCACGAAAATCGCGAAAATTAATTCCCCACAAATGATAATGATTTTGCAGTATCTTTATTTTCCTGCATCAATCAATAGTATGGGGACTTTGTTTTACCTACCTTCCCATAGTGGAGAATACTCCTCATTTGTAGTGCTGTTAGGGTCTGCACCAGACTTGAGTAGACAAGATACACAATCAGAATGACCTTTCTTACATGCTAACATCAAGGCTGTTTGTTCCTCAAATGTTCTACTGTCAACATCTACATCTGAACAATGATAATAATAATAACAATAATAATTAAATAACAATAATTATAATAACAAGAGGGCCGTGATGGCCCTGAAATCGCTCACCTGTGTATAGGATCTTGGGGCGGGCTAATTTTAACCAAGGGGCTTTTTCTTAACCAACTTGGTAGGCACCCATTAGAAGATGTTTCATGATAAATATCTAAGCTCAAGCTCTTGGGGTTTTTAAAAGAAGATTTTTTTAGTTTTTACTACAGACATATAAGGAAAATCAGACACCCGGGCAGGGCAAATTTAACCCTGGGGCTTTTATTTGAACAAATTTGGTAGACACTCAATAGAAGATGTTTCATCTGAAATATCTAAGCTCTAGCTCTATGGGTTTTTTAAAAGAAGATATTTAAAGTTCTTTTCTTTCGGTTGCCATGGCAACCAGAGTTCTGCATGGAATTAAATTCTTTGAACAATTTTTAAAAGTGACCACCAAAGGAACATTCTTGTGAAGTTTGGATGAAATTGGTTTAGCGGTTTATGACGAGATGTCATTTAAAGTCAAAGTTTACGGACAGACGCCGGACGAAAGGTGATCACAAAGGCTCACCATGTCACTTTGTGACAGGTGAGCTAATAATAATGATGATAATAATAATATTAATGATCAACATTATTTTTTGTCCAATCACATTGTAGTATTTTTCAAATTTCTGCTTTGTCTAACTTTGGTTAATGTGTACTAACTAAATAAAATTCACTTAATCTGTCGTCTAACCGCAGTCTAACAAATTTCAATAATGCATTATATCAGGGAGGAGTTAGAGGTATGGTTTGCACTCTGATTTGTAAAATGTCAAGGTTAGCAAAACAATGCCAACATAAAAAAAAAATAGTCGAGGTCAGGTGTTTTCTAAATGTGAGGATACAATGAACTGATTTATTACATAGATAATACATGTTGGGTACACAGAGACAAATGATTGCATATTAACTTTTTTAAATCCTTTGAACTCTAAGAAAAATGACTATTATAAATTGCTGACTGTTTTAAACTTTATATTTTATAGAAAAAGTAACCAAAACATTATTTTCTTTCACTTGATAGGAATAAACTGCATTAACAATCATTGATATCAAGAATACAATGATTACATTTTTTGGCTGGAAAACTCATTGAAAATGGACCCCCTTCACACAGAAAAAAAATGAACTGTTTTTCAAATGAGCAAATCAATAGGGATTTTAAATGTTAGTGAATAACTTGAAGCTAATAACGAATTTGTATCAATGAATAATCTCTAATGTATTTTTTTCTCACATTTTCCATTTATTTTAAAAGGATGTACACATTTCATTAACTCCATTGTTTTTACCTAATTGCATCGTTTTTCGCTGTTTTTTCCAGACATATTATAAACATGATAGTCTTACTGTAGATAAAGGTATAAATTCTGTGACATTTCAGTAAAAAAATGTGCCTGGGCCATTTAATTAGCTTATCTAAATGTGACATGTAAGCAACTTAACAAGGTGTAGACATGTTGTAGAGCGAAAGGGCGGAGCTATAGGTGATTTAGAGAAATGCCTTGTTGTTAGTTGAAAAAAATAATGTTGATCATTAAATAGGTTAATGTTTAATAATATGCATTAACAAAAATAATTGGTCGCCTGCCTGCGGCAGGCTTGACCAATTATTTTTGTTAATGCATATTATTAAACACTAACCTATACATAATTATAACAAATAATAATATTTACAACAACAACAATAGCAACTGTCCACATCAATCTACACATCAACAATGATAATAATAACCAGGGCTACAGATAACATTTTGTGTATATTGGGTAATTACCCCTTATTTTGTGATCTATTGGGTTTTTTCTATTTTCTTTGAGTTCTTTCTGTCTTTTTTACCCTACCCCCTTTAACCAATTTGGGTTATAAAGTACAAGTTCATGCATTTTACCCAAAATTTTTGACCTTCATTGTAGACATTTGTAGGTTTTGTACGGTTATAAAAAAGCTACTTTCTACTTTGCTTTATGGTTTATTGGCCTAGGAGATTTCCAAGTTGCCTTATATAATTTAAAGGTTAAAACAGTTTGAAACAGTATGATCTGCCTGATGTACGCGTTAAGTAATAATTTTCGTCATTACGCACCAGTTCAAATGTAGTTTGTATAAATAAGAATTCATTTACTTTTTCTTACCCTTAGTTATTATTTCTATTGGGTTTTAAGACATTTTAATTGGGTAATAACGCAAATACGCATGTTATCTGCAGCCCTGAATAACATAATTAATAAATAATTATTAATTACAACAACAACATAAATAAATAATAGCAGCAGCAGTAACAACAACAACATTAAGCCCTACAATGTGCACATTTTTCACAAGTATTTAAATATTGGTACAACAGTAGAAATATATACTATCATTTAGATATTGATATAAAGTATTTCTTGAAAAAAAAAGCAACAAAAGTTGATAAAAGCATACTTTATTTCATTCCCTGGTTGATTCCGATATTCAATAAAAATGAAATTAAAACAGAACATATTAATACGAACAGAATTATTTAATTCAAACTCACCACATTTGAGGATTTCCTTGAGACATGCAATGTTACCATGGAATGCAGCTTCATGCACTGGTTGCCAACCTCGATTGTCTTTAACATCAACTGCTTTACCTGTAAAATAATATTTTTCTAATCTGTTTGTTTTTCTGTTTTTACAACCATTTTAACACATCTTTAGTCAGATTTGCACATGTTCCGTAAGCTAGATTTAATTATTGTCTGAGAATCTGTAATGCACTTGTACTAAATAACTTTTCTGAGCCAACATTAAAAGCACATTATGCCCTAAAATATTATAATACATATTTTTTAATTCTTTAGAAGTGGATTTAGAGAATGTTACATGTTAAACAATCAATAAAAGTAATGCTGAATGTGCAGTATTGTAATGTAAAAGTAGCAAAATGTAAACATAGTAGTATTTCGACTTCCACACAAAATTCTAATTCAATATGAATATACTAAATGCTAACAAAGCAAAATAATCAAAGATAGTTAATCTATAAGGCAAATGAGTTTTATTTTGGAAACTGTAACAAAATACCAAAAAAAGTTTTTTATAAAAGAAAAATGCTAGTATTTCTGAGGTATAATGGGCCTTTAAAGCCCCTACAGTCTCATCTGACATCATACAACTGACGACAAATCAAGCATTTTTGATATTGAAATTTTCTTGCGCAGAATTTCCTGACGAATTTGTGACCTGACTCAAAAATTATAGCCAATGAGAGGCCCAGCAAGAAATGCATGTAAGAATGTACCTGATCTAATTAATCTTTTCAATAATTTATTATCTCCTGACAAAGCTGCTGCTGCTACAGAGGAACTTGTATCTGGATATGCCTCTTGAAAATTCATTTTGATTAAATTCCTGAAGACTAAATAAGACATTCAAATTCAGAATAAAGATATAAAATCACAGACACTTGGGGTTTGGAGCTCAAAACGCCTTTAAAATCCAAATAAAATGCATATATGTCAATCCCAGCACATGTACTGATCATATATATCAAAAAAACTTAATATAAGCCGTTTTGAAAAAATTTCATATTTCAACATCTATAATTATTATAGATGTTGAAATATGAAATTTTTTCAAAACGGCTTATATTAAGTTTTTTTGATATATATGATCAGTACATGTGCTGGGATTGACAAATATGCATTTTATTTGGATTTTAAAGGCGTTTTGAGCTCCAAACCCCAAGTGTCTGTGTATAAAATAGTCATTCTTGATTAAATTATTTCAATTGCAGAAATTCATTGAAATCTATGAAATTCTTAGTGAATATGTCTAATTTAAATAAAAGAATGAGTAAACTATGTATAGGGTTTGGGAATGTGCATTCCTATTGCAGGTCAAGAAAAGTTGGTCTTTTCTTTAAAAAAACTGCCAGTTTTTTTAATGACACTTTATATTCTTATCGTGACCACTTTAAGTGTGTAGAAGTTTAACCATAACATAATTATCTACTTTGTGTGAAGCCAAAACATGTTTTATTTTATATTTACAAAGAGAACTTGGAGCAATTATCAAAATTTTCTAATATCAAATTTGAGAATAGTATATTTATTTTAAGTTAGTGTTTGGTAATGGCCAGGTAGAAAGAAATTGAAATTTATATAATAGTGAGATGAAAAATCACTTCTCAAGGTAGACTGGGTTACTAAGCTTAATAACGTTTGTTGCATGATAGGACTATTAGGTTCTTAACATCTATTGTGTACGGGAAGACAAGAAACAGCAGGAATGTGAATAAAACTTATACCCTGGGACCCTGGTAACAGCTATAGTATTTCATGGAAAATAGATGATATTTGTATATGTCTAAAGCTGTGAGTTAAGATTTAAACTACCCTTTATTCTGACTGGCTTCATTATTCATAAGGTGGATAAGTTATTTGTTTCCAGTATGTAATACATATTTTTACTGACAACTCTAATAGTCGTATCTGCAATGCTAATGTATAAGTGCCGACAAATATTGTCTTGCCAAAGACATATTGTCTAAAGGGCTAGCTATCTAGCCCTTCATTCTATCTTTCTCTTTACAGTTTTGCCACATTATGTTTTGTTATTTGAGTCAAAATCTAATAGAAATTTCACTATAACTCTTTTAACCGAAATGATAAATGTAAACAGCTGATTACTAGAGTGGGTGGACCAACGCTCGGCGTAAAAATACTATATTTGATATGGCGAATTCAAATCAACGTCAACAAACCTCAATGTTATATGTCCATTTTCAAGACCGATGATATTGTTTTAAATAGCCATTGTGTAAAATTCGCTAATCACATAATGATGTGCATGGCTGGAACTATAGATAGTCCGGATAAACAAGAGTGGTTTGCGTGAAATTGTACCATAGCTCGGCGTACAATACTACATGATGCAGAATTGTTTTTCGAATAAAATCTCTTTTTTATCTTATGAAGAAAACACATTGAATAAATTGTAACAACCAAATTAGGTTCATACATTTACAAGTACCCAACCTTTAATTTAAATTTTACAGCGCCAGAACTCTAGTGTTAAAAGATTTTAATAATTTATATGTTGCGGATTACGTACGGTTGTTTGTCTGCTATTAGCATTGTCACATGACTTTACCAGCAGTGAACCACACCAGGATAAAATGGTGAAAGATGTAAATAAAAGCACCAGTGACCTAAATCGGCGATAACTCGAGACATTTTCAGATATTCTAAAAAAAAGATTTTTTTACGCCGAGCATTGGTATGCGCCGAGCATTGGTCCAACCACTCTAGTGTACCGGTTTTGACAACAAAGGTGACATGAACTAGTGACTGCTAATACCACAGCATGCACAGTGGGACAACACAATGCTAGGATGGAAATTTTTTATCTGTCAGTCTTTTAAATTTTCACTTCCAGTTAGATGATATAATAAATTATTTCTTTTTTTTTGCTATTTTCAAACCAATACAATGGCTTTCTGTAGTTCTGGCTTCCATAACTTTATATGTCGCTTTTATTTTGATTTTGAGTGACAGTAAGTATACTGTAGCAGTACTATAAAACCTATTTGCTGAAGTCTCTTTAGCTACTGTAGCTTTCTGAAGGGGGAAATATAGCATGATTGATCAGAAATGGGGGAAAACTTGTAATCAAATTTAACGTGCATGATTTGTCTATCTGATCTCTAGGGACAGCTTTCTGTTTCAGAGTAACTGTAAAACACTGTAAACAGGTAAAGATTCGAAAAGTTAAAAAAGAACAAAAAAAACAACAGGTCATTCTTACCCTTGCTTGCTCTAATAACAAACTGTCAATTTCTGACTTTACCCATTTACATTCGTAGAAGTGTTTGGTTGTGTCAAACAGTTTGAACAGTTTATTGAATAACATTTGTAAAATTAATGGCGTCGCAAAATATAAGGGGCGTAAATGTGTAAGTGACATGCTCAATCAATCTCCCACGGTTGCTAAGGGAAGTAATCACTGTGACATACTCAACAGCGATTACGTCCCTTTCAACGTATTTCCATATGCATGACTGAAAAAAAGTTTTTATATTATTCTATTAAATCTACATAGGTTTTGGTAGAGCTATTAATTTATTTCATATTCTAAGATTTTTGGTACAGACAATTCGCGCTTAAATAGAAATTCTATAATTAAAATGTAAATGATACATTTTCATTCAATCACATGATTTTCCCGTGCTCTGCTTGGCTTTTCTACTTTTATTTTGTAACCACGACCCTACCCCTTTGGAAAGTCTAGGTTTAACCTTGAGCTGTAATTTAACCTTGAAAGTCCAAAGTGCCCATACTTCCGAGTCATTGCGGTGGTTTTAGCGCCAAAATGGTCGGAACATGACCACACGTACCGAGCTTCTGAGGTAAGAAAATAAAATGCTACTGTTTTCTCTATAGTTTTAACTGTTACCGTGGATCTAATTTGACCTGCGAGTTTTGACTGAAATATAGAAAAGAAACAGAAAAAACTTTCAAATAGAAAACCCCCTGTTTCAGAACAATTTAGTTTGGAAAAAAATCACACTTTGTCGTAGCTAGGTTAAATTGTGATTTTGTTGTAAATGTTGTGACATTAATATTACACCTGGAGATAAACTTTACAGGAATGTTGTACAGCATGTGTAGTTTTACACCTGGGGGTTTGCTTGTGTATTAATTCAGCATTTGCTCTTGACTCAGTAAAATTGTTATGCACATATTGGGGGGGGGGGGGGGTCTTGTGGATTTATTTAGTATTTGTAGAGTTATTGCCCTTGAATGAGCATTGCAAAATTTCAAAAGTATTTGACCTAGAGTTTTGAAACTTTACATGAATGTTGCTCAGTGCACTTGGGTTTGGCTTGTTTTTATTTTCTTTTAACATAAAATTGAGATTTAGAATTCCTGCAGCTCTATCTTTGGAGAAATCAAAATGTCAACATTGGAAAAATTATGTCATTTTCTATGCCCCAACCACTAATGGGTAGGGAGAGTAATGTAAAATTTCCTCTGTCTGTCTGTCATACTTTTTTGCTGTATGTCAAAAGAATGACAAAGCAGTGAAAATGTGGGGGCATCCATGTCCTATATATGGACACATTTCAAGTTTTTTTTTATATTTTTACTAGCACTTAAAAATATTATGAAGACCATTGTGAATATCATAATCTGGCACAAGATTAATGGTTTCGAATTCTTGACTTGAGTAACTCTGCAGTGAGATACATTCCATATCCACTAAAACCAACACAATTATTTTCTATACTGTATACATGATTCCTGAACACATTCATCAAAACTAGTTCAGCATTTATCCTGGTGACAGATTGAAAGTCAACATCTTAAGGTATTTACATGTAGCAAAACATCAGATTGGTCTGAATACATTTAATGGCTGTTAAATTATTGCTGAAAGGTTTTTAAAGAAGCTCCACTGAGGTCAAAAAGCCTAAAAACATAAAATTTTGAAATTATCACATAGATTGAATGAAACACTGAAAAATGGAATAATTAACTCAGGATAAGATCGAATATCGAATTTTGTGCCATTCTAAGCCTGAATTGAGTGACAAGTGTTGTAACCCTTTTCATTTTTGGGTCATTTTTCACAATAAAAAATGATTATTATGAAAAATATAAAGAAGGAATGATCTGAAAATTTGGCCACAAGTTATGAGTCAAGACCTATGGTACAGATATCTGGGAAGTCCTGTCAAGTCAAAAATCCTCAGTTGAGTCCCTTTAATACAAGTATCAAAGAAAAATTAAACAACAACACTATATATGTAACATTTTATTTTTTTTTTGTAAAAAAAGAATCATGCAAAATGGAATTCAATAAAGATTTGAATGATAATAGATAAAGAGCAGTTCATATGTAACAAATTCACAACACATTTAGCTGGGACACAAGAAAAGTACTGTTATAATGAGCAACTTGTCCAGAATTCCTACTTGTCAGATTTGACCTATATTTGGTAGCCTTTGCAATGAAACGCATATTTCACAATGGTGCATTGCTGATTAAAACCACTATTACATGTATCATCAAAAATGTAATACTGTTATCGTATTCCTTTCGTTAGATATATATTTAATATATAAAACATCTAAGATATATAATAAATATTTTATTTTATTATCCGTCAGTTTTAAAAGAATGTGATAAATTAATTAAATATTGTTTTTTTTTTATGATTCTGCCGGAGTCTCTTCTTGATTTCCAGAATCGGCTGGTTCCTGTTTCTGCTCGGCAGGTGCTTCCTCTTCCTGGTTCCCTGCACCATCTTCATTTTCGGCTGTTTTCTCAGCCTGAACTGGAGATGGTGGTTTTTCTGCCTGTTCTTGTGTCTCAGTTTGTTCAGGTGTTTTTGCTACTTCTGAAATAATGAAACATATTTTAAATACAAGTTGTATTCACAATTCTTTTTTCTTCATTGCAGGTTATATGAATAAAAATCAAATTTTATGCATATTTTTTTTCAAGACTGTATTTGGTAATTTTATAAGTTTGCAGTAATTTTCACTGAAATTTGAGAAAATTTTCAAATTGTATCCACAGTGTGAAAAGAGATATATCATTGTGGGGAAATAGATATCAATTTTGAGTGCATTGTTGTAACATTATGCACAATTCGAGTTCAAACGCGGAGAAATACAATCACCAAGGCCCATTTCTTGACAAAATTCAGTTATGACTTTTGTGATTCTGAACTTATTAGACTCAGAAATATCTAAGTTAACTTAGTACTTATGTGAAATATATATATTACATAAGCATTATATGTAAAATTAATAAAAAAATCAGCATTTCCAGATCAATTCTAGAAGACATATTATTATAACTTTTCTAATGAATAAAGTAAACATTATGAAATTTATAAATACTATATAAAATATTAATATATGTGTATAAAAAATAATATTAAAAAAAACCCAAGAAGAGCCTCATCCCAAACACCCCACAAATTTATCATAAAGTCTAAAAACAAATTGAAAAATAGAAATTTTTTACAGAATAATGTTTTATCTATATGTATGAAATATATGTATGTGGTAGGTAAGGATTTTTTTTGATTTTTGTGCATTCATACATGTATATGGTATAACTGAATATGAAAGTCAATAAAACAATGGGAAATTTGATAAATTTAACAGAAGAAAACAAACAATGCTCATGCAAATTACATAACCTGAAAACATACAAAAATTGGGACAGTAGCCAGCTAAATCAATCAACTCAAACATTAGCAACTAAGTAGATATGCTTCCAACATCCTTAATCTTTAACACACCTAGAAACAGACTTGGCCTTTCTACCTCACAACAACACCTTTATACTTGTACTTTTCAGTATAATTAGGGTATATACATAACTTGTTTATGAATTTATACTTTCACTTAACATTTCACAATTTAAAAATGTTTAATTAAATGTAAATACTTAAATTGAAGTCCTTTGTTTTCTTAGAGCCAATTTATTTATTTTGTTTCCCCCAGTTTGCAGTTTCAAAGGCTGAAGGATTTTATTTTTATAAATATTAAATGTGTTTGTCAAATGGCCTACTCTCAATGACAAAACTCAGAAATTGATTTCTTTGGGATCTTACTTAGCAATAAAAGGGACATAAGTCTCACATAATTATGTCAAAGTACACAATAGTTACATACTCTTGCCTTACAATGGGTGAAAAAGTCACCCATAAGTATTACTAGTATAAAATAATATCTTAGTTTTGTGAAAAAGTGTTGCAGTACCAACAGTAATAGAGAAAGTTTAAGTTGACAAAGGGGCATAATTTTGTCAAAACTCATGATACAGTATTATGTACCTTGCAAATATGTGGAGGTGATGGTTTAAACAAGTATTCAATGTTTCAAAGCTGCCAGGTTTCAGGAAAAAAGTGGAGTTGGAAAAAATGAAAACAATAAAAAGTGGCACTGATGCCAAAGCCTTAGTGAATAAGTATACATAATTTTTATCTTTTAATTAATAATTTAAAAAGCCCATTCATTTCATTATAGAGTGCAATTATTTAACTGAAATGATTAAATCCACTGCCTCAATTTTATTAATTACTAAACATCTTTTTTCGTTTTGTGTTAACTTCTTAATTTTCCTCTCAGCCATGTTAAAAGTTTACCTTCTATACAAGTAAGAATATCATTATATTAATGAAGTAAGGAGGAAATTTGTTCCTGATATATATATATATTGAGTTCCCACCTGAATTTCTATGAAATCAACCTTTAACTAAGCAGAAAAAATTGCATATTTTATACCCTGTTTCTTTTAAGGCCTCAATTATAAATGCAAAGTAGAATCCTCCTTAATTTTTTAGGCACTTTTGGTCAGAAGTATGAGCATATTTTTTTTTCTTGTATGTGATTCTCTCAATTAACACTATAGTAAAAGCTTTTGACAAAAGACATTCAAAGATATAAATTTGTTGGTATTTATCATAAAATAACTAATACTTGATCCCTTGAAATGAATTTTGAAAAATTGTGCATTCAATTAGCAGACAAAAAAGGATGGGTAAATATCACTGTACCAATTTGATCAACACAAACTCCACCTAAAGCACAATAACAGTGCTCTAGCGAGCTCAAAAATAAAACAATGAATACATAACAAAAATAATATATAAATTTAGATATATGTGTGTGTTTGTTGTTTACCTGTTGTCTAACTACTGTTCTGAGTCCTCTGTTAAAACAACAACAACAAGGATAGAGAAAATCAGAATTATATAGAGAACAATATGTTGTTAAGAAAGATAACTCTTTAAGTACTCTTCCTTTGGGGAATTATTAGTATGCAGTGTTATTTCCCCTCCTTTAGATGAATCCTGTAAAATTTAATGAACCCATAACAGACCCATTCCAAAGCAATTGAATTTTTTTTTACCAAAAGTTTGCCAATGCTTATTCAAAATCTGGCTTTTGTTGAAAGTCATTTTTCTCCAAAATATGCATAATTCCATACATCAAAAATTACCCTTTTTTGGTGGACTGCTTCCTAATGGGTGGGAAAAACACTGTTTAGACTTATACTACATCAAGTTAAGAACCAATCAGTGTTATTTTTTAGGAGTTCTAATATCAAAATACTTAGAATTATTATAACAATAGAAGATTTTTGTATCATTTTTTCTTAAAAAATAAATGAACTTAAAGCAAGTTCCTTACATAATATTTGGAAATGATTTGTCCTAACATCTTACAAGTTTTCAAATTAAAAAGTGGAAACAGTACCTTTAATACAAATTTGTTAATATCAAGCTTCAAAGCCATGTAAGATATGACAAGCATAAACTAAAAATCACAAGAGAGAATAAAGAAAGAAGTCAGTTCACACAAGAAAAGACAAACTGTGTTTTTTCAATCAGAAAGCATAAATGCAATTTTCTGTGCTTTAAAAGCTTTATCACAACACGAGAAATGCATTCCTTGTCTTGACACACTACAATCAGAAAACATGTGAATTCAATTTAAAACATATCTTTAATTCAAATTACCTTGTTCTGAGGGTTGTTCGTCAGTCGCCGTCGTTCTGCCCTCTGGCTGAATATCTTCTAAATCATCATCTTCCGAAGCCAGGTGTATACCTGTTGTCTGCCCAGCTTTCCATTTTGAGATTATATTTACCTGGCCTTCATCTTCCTCACCCTTTTCTTCCTTATCCTGTACGAAATTATAAGATCTTGTAATGTATTTTCTTTGACAAGTCAACTATTTAAGTACATAAGTTGTTTACAACATTTAAATATCAGAAAGTTAGGATTCAGAAGGTAAAAGTAACCAACCATATTTGCAGTGGTAATTATTATCAAAGATTACTCTCTCACAGTACTTGAAGTTAAAAGTTCAAACAGACTGCTTCCTCAATGAGTGTAAACCTTCTACAATCTTACCTGTTCAATGCCAAGATATTCACCATGCTGTTCACATCCAATATCAAATACATATTTGCCTTTTCCCATTGGCTAAAACAAAAGATAATAGAAAATCAATAAAATTTCTAACTTAGATGTAACTTATTTAGAATTTTAAAGGATTAGCCAATTAATAATTATATTCTTTATTTTTTGGTTGTTTTTAAAGTCATATTGGCAGTAGCTGTAAAAAGTCAAAACTTTCCTGATGTAGGAAGACTGCAGTGTCCCTCTGTATAATATTTCAAGCACAAGAGGGCACCCAAGTAGAACCGATGACTTTCTTTAAATTATGATAGTAAGATAGCTTGAATTAGCTTCTCACATGAAAGAGAATCTAAAAGAATACACAGCCCCTGGTGGGATTCAAACCAACAACAGTAAAAGGCATGTGTTTTTGAGTAAGTGACCCTAACCACTCAGCCATGTGACTTCTATTCTAACAGAGTACCATGAAGCAAAATCAATGATTCACTGTAAAAATATTTGCATGAAGTTTTTGCAGAATCACTTATAAATATATTTGTGACTAGAGTTAATGCTTATTACTGGTGTTACTTACTCTATCTTCACGGAAAACTCCTACATATTTATGATTGGCATGTACAAGTTCACCATGTCCGTCTCTCTTTCCAGTGTTCCATGTACCTACATATTTAGTTCCGGTAGCAGCGTATGTGTAAGTACCTTGACCGTGTCTGACATGATTCAACCATTCTCCCTCGTATATATCACCATTGACGTAAAAATATTTACCGAAACCACATCTTTGGTCATCTACCCAGCTGCCTGTTGAATATTCATAGAGAACTTTTAATCACTTTTAATAGTAAATTCTTAACATATTTTTTACTCAAAGGACTTAATCAGATATTCATATTATGAAAAATGTTTCAGAGCCTTAAGTATTATTCACTGGATTAATTAACATTGACAAATCATAGGGTAAACATCACTGAAACTAAGGAATAATTCAAGTCACTGTCAAACTATTTTTTGTCTTTTAGGCCATCCAACTCATTAAGATATATCTTAATTATGGTAGTTATAATAATATTCTAAATATTATAAACATCGGTGGCGCGATAGCTCAGTTGGTTAAACCACTGATTATCACTCCTGAGGTCCCGGGTTCGATCCTGGGTTACACCCTTGGGATTTTTCAGAGACACTTTCAGTGTTTCCCACCTACCTAGAGGTGTACTGGTAAGAAATCCAGGTAATCCTCGCATGTATCAGTGCTATACACTGGGCATGTAAAAGAACCAAGGGGTCTATTCAATAAGAGCTAGGGACTGGTTCCCGGATTCCCTTGTATCTTAAAAGCTGTTTCTTAAATGTATACAATGTATACCTGCTTATAGTAATCGAAAACGATTTTAAAGCAGTATGATGTAAAAAAAAAAAAAAAAAAAAAAAATAAATATTCATGGCTTGTCTTGTCATAATTGTGCTGTTCATATTGATTTCATTTATGAAAATACTTATAATTCATAATTGATGCAACTTCCACAGTCAATGTCAATTACCAATTGATATTTCACTTAAAGTATTAAAACAAAAGTTAAACTGCTGTCATTAATTACATATCCAATAATTTTTAACATCTAGAAATTTATAGAAGCCTCTGTTCTCATCTAAAGTTATGAAAACAGTTGTTAACATACCTTCATATCTTGAACCATCTGGATATATAAAGGTTCCATTGCCATGTTTCTTATTTTTTATATATTCACCAGTGTATCTTGAACCATTCTTGAATCTGGAAAATATTTGTGAAATAATGCTTATTATTATAAAATCAAAATACAATTAATGTAGCATACAAAAATGTACATCATAGTGTTCAGTTTTACAGCAACATGTGCTTTTATTTAAGGTAATTTATAGATTTATTAACTTTAGAACAGAAAATGATAAGCATCTTTCTTTAAACATTATAAACACAAAACTTGAAGAATAAAAGACAAAATAGTTGAAATGAATATGCAGATTTTTAAATTTAAGACCAAAATATATACATTTATACATTCAATAAATCAATTCAAAATTTTCATAGTTATGTATATAAAATGGGAGCACTCCTAAATACACATAATTATATAAGCCAACATACCTGTAAATGCCATGACCGTGTCTTTTACCATTTTCATACATGCCTTCATATGTATCACCATTTGGCAGTGTAGCTTTTCCTTGACCATGCCTCTCATCTCTTTCATTTCTTCCCCCTTCATATTCCTATAATATCACATTAAAATATTACTTGAAATTTAAAATATAGCCTGAAATTTAACCATTTGCCTCCTGGCAGATACAGGATTCTAGCACTGTGACAAGTGCAGACCAAGATCAAACAGCACAATTTGATCATAGTCTGCAATGTTCTCTATTCAGTCAGTACATATTTTGAAATCTTTCCTAAAATGATTAACTGATTTGTCCAGATTGAAAGACCAGGACAAGAACAATTCTAAGATTATTTAGCATAGAAAAGGTTATAAATATATAACACTTAAAATTTTATTTAAATCCTTATGTGGTCTGGATTCACCTTTTTTGACAACAGGAACTATTATAAATTGGGTAATCTGTGGTAAATAAAGGCATTTTTTTTTTCAAAATAAACCCTTATAAACCAGAAGATGGAATATTGTCACCTTGTGACAAATCATCATTGACACTTCATAAATACATGTTTCATTTGGAAACAGGACAACACTTGGGTATATTTTGTGGCGGAACTTAACTGAGGTTGTAGGTTTGAATAAAAAATGTGAGCCTCTCTTTTGACTTCCTCAATCTAATGTTAATTATTACTGGTTATGACACAAGTGGAAACATGCAGTCAAGTGGTGTGAGTCCCCCGAATTGGGTTACACTGAGGAAGACATCTAATTTAGCAGATTAGGAAAAAATAAATTATAAGCACATTTGCTTGGCCTGTTATGTATTTGCACTTGCTTATTTGGGGCAGTGCTGCCTCCAGTATTCTATTATAATTTACATTTTGTGTATGTCAATAAAATGCAACAAAATTCAGAATACACATTGTAACAGAAACCTGTTTTTTAGAGTTGATTCTACATATTCCTAGTATCATGGTTTATATGATTTTGCTTTAAGACATGCTTAATTAAATTTAAACATTGCAGAATGAATACCCTGCAGAATTACAATTTTAATTTGTCTACTGTGAGTAGCCTTTAGTAATAGATCTATATAAATATATATGAAATGTAAGTAAAAAGCATTACAAAGTTAAGTTTTAAATAAATTATTTATATAAAACGGGTAAGTTAAACTAGATGATTTTGTTTTACAATTTCATCAAGATCTGAACATAATGATAAATTTCACAGAAGTTGCCAACTGTTTATTTTTTTTTATAAAAACAACTGATTCAAATAATTTCAACAGTACTTACGCCTAAGTATGGCCCCTGCTCCTCATCCATTTCTTCAGATCCCATATCAGACATTTTGCCGATTTAATTTAACGATGAAACGGAATAAAAAAAGACAGCTACACTTGCCAGTGTTAGAATAACGAGTAATCAAACGGTTGCTACGATGTAATAACATCCGGTTGACTGTGTCCAATACAACAATTTTTCAGAAGACTTTACCGCGTGCAGTATGAGATACAGTCTGTAACACCGGTTAGTTTGTTTACATTTTTGACAAGTGAGAACGAGCTGTCTCATGTCCAATAGATGATTTGATATAATTTTGCGTAATCCTTATGTTCAGTGTTATTTTTTACCGGGACTTCTAATTGAAACATAGGTAAATCTTATGGTTAATTTGAAACAAAAGTCTTCTAGATATATACATATAAAACGTTTTATATTCGGTTATGTAGCGATTCGTCCCACTCACATTTCGCCCTATTTTACCTTATTTGATATATTTTATTTTTCATTTCTATACTTATTCAATTATTGGACTAAATTTATTCATACATCTTAGTAAGGTGATAATGAAAGTCAATATAACATTGATGTCTGCAAATTCAATATATAGAGGGATGATTAATATTAGCCCCCCCCCCCCCGCATTTCCATTCTATTTTCTTCATTTCAACAACTCTTTTTATCCTTTCATCCGTTTTTTGATTCAGGCATGTTTCATGTTCCCATAAAGTGTGTTCAATTTTAATAGAAAAATAAACATAGATTATGATAGATATAGATAATACAAATAGAATGGTCCCCATGGTACCACTGTTCTTATTATTTCCAGCAAATTGTACAAATAAAAAGAACTTATATTAACTATTTTATTGAATTGTGTTTAGCTGTCGCATCTTAACTTTAAAATACACATGTCATTCATGGAATATCTCAATGATTTTAATTAGAAACATCTATGCGCGATCAGCCATGTTTAGAATGGGAGCTTATACAGAGAGCACTATGGTACCGTGGTATATTAATTGATGGGCCTTTTTGGCTTCAGTATAATTTTTTGTAACAGAATATGCTGTCACTACAGTTTCAGCAGACGACCTTCACGTGTCGGAATATGAAATTATAAGTTTAACCGTTAAATATGGGGTAAAATAAAGAAGTTTTTTCAGCACACACAGGAAGCTTTGGATTTTCCTATCAATAACAGAATTTATTTGAAATGAAAAAATTTCTAACAATTTCTATCCAAATTCACGAAAAGCAGCACTTCCACTTATACTATAATGGTGGAAACAGTATTTGGTAGCATTCAATGTGTAAAGAAACAAATTTCCTATTACATCGGAATTGGCAAGGACGCGGTACCCGCGGGGAGTACTATACCATGACTGTTAATAGTGTGATTATAGGCCCCCTTAATTGATACATATGTACTACATGTCATGTAATTTGTGACTTCCGACTGCACATTAACATAATTTTAAGCTGGCAAATTTAATTTAAACTTCACACATTTTCTAAAAGACGACATTTTATAATGATCATTTCCAAAGTGTTATTAAATACTCTGATATTATAGTGCAACTTTAATTACAGCCTGGTGGTTATGAATAATTTAACAAAGACAATTTCTGGAACATTTTAAAATAAAAAGATAAACTGTGTATAATGTTATGTTATTGTTCATTATTTTTTTATAAAACTTCTAATACATTTGCTTTTCTCGAAAAATGAAAATTTAAAAAATCATGCTGAAATTTATTGGCCCTATTCCTTCAATGGAATAATTATGCAGTTATATGAAAGTGTGAAGGTTATATAACCACAATGGGAGTTTTTTAGCTGTGTATAATATGACTATCACAATGTCAATACTATTTGAATGGATGAACATTAATATAAATGCATGACAACTCTGATTCTGTTTCTGTAGGCAAGCATGGAAGGGGAATACAGCAGTGAATCTATGATGCAACAGGCCCAGCAAGTGTGGTCAATGCTGGACGACATGGCTGATAATGATCCTGGTGCATATAAAGCATTTATAGACAAACAGATGGCAGAGAGAAACAATTTTATGGCACCACCAGAGCCACATATGTGTGTCAAAACAGAAATGGTGGTAAGTTGATTTAACAGTTAATCTACTGAATTTCACTTTGTGCAATGGGTAATGGGTTGTCTCTGCTTTGAATTTGTAAGTCAGTTCAGGGAATTACAGTATCCAAATACAAGAATTTACAGTTACTTACCATATATATAATATAATACTCTGGTCAGGGTGCACAGACATGAAGGTCTCAGGCTCTTTACTGGTAGCATTAAAGGTTAATTACTTCCGGTTTCAGCAGGTTGCTTTTTACCAATTTATTTCCTCCTTTTATCCTTCCTTTCCATTTTCCTTCCTTCATTTCTTTCTTATCCTTTTTTTTTCTTCCTCTTTCTCACCTACTTATCATCTTTACATCATTGTGTAATATAATTTTCGCTTAAATAATCATATGTTTATTTGTTTGTTTGTTTTGGGTTTTACATCACATCGACACAGTATAGGTCATATCGCAACATTCCAGCTTTACTGGTGGAGGAAAACCTCAGGTGCCCTTACGTGCATTATTTCAGGCACGAACCGGCACCTGAGTAGAACCACTGACGTTCCGTAAGCTAGCTGGATAGCTTCCTCACATGAAAAAATCCAATGTCCCTGTCAGGATTCGAACCCACAGCGGTGAGGGGCAAGTGGTAATCATATGTTTATAAAGATTTGAAGTCTTGTGTTGTTTTACATTAGCTTCACCTTATACTATTTGGTGGTTACCCTTAAAAATTTTCTGATAATCTTATCACATAAATTTAGATATTGTATATTTTTGCTTTCAAAAGAAGGTCATGAAGGAAATGATAAGCCACTTACTCACTTGTTTTTTGATATAGGGAGTTGAGCACTATGGCTGTAAACTGCATGTTGAAGTATTTCATCTAATTTTTATGCCCCCACAAAGTGGGGTGCATATAGCGTTACACTTGTCTGTCCGTCCGTCTGTCCGTACATCCCGAAATCTTGATTTTTTCACTATATATCGTATAGAAATTTATGAACGCAACTCCTCTTAAACCGGATGGCAGATTTTGCTTAAACTTCCAGGGATGAACAACCTTAATGTGTAGATGGTAATAAAGGAATGAATTTTTGCTGCGACTTAATTTAACAGAATTATGGCCCTTTATTGATTTTTTTCACTATGTAGAAATTTTGTGAACGCAACTCCTCTTAAACCGGATGGCAGATTTTGCTTAAACTTTCAGGGATGAACAACCTAATGTGTAGATGGAAGTAAAGGAAGGAATTTTTGCTGCGGCCAAATTTAACAGAATTATAGCCCTTTGTTGATTTTTTCACTATATATCATATAGAAATTTATGAACGCAACTCCTCTTAAACCGGATGGCAGATTTTGCTTAAACTTCCAGGGATGAACAACCTGAATGTGTAGATGGAAGTAAAGGAAGGAATTTTTGCTGCGACCAAATTTAACAGAATTATGGCCCTTTGTTGATTTTTTCAATATATATCCATATATACATGTATGTTGTCAGTGGGGGCATCCGTGTCCTTTGGACACAGTTTTAGTTATACTTAAATCATCATTGAAACCATAGAACCCAATTTTGATTTTTTTAACAACATAAAAAACTGACAAGATTTTTGTTGTAATTCAAGTCAGGGATAATTATAAGGGCCATGGGTATAGCCTGTATATTTTTAGAAAAATTGTTGGTGATAACTTAATCATCAGCTAATAAACAGTATTGTAATTTCTTTTTTAGTCAAAAATATTGCAAAATTATTTATAATACCTTATACAAGCATTGGGTGTGACTTGGCCTATACATATCTAACAAACAGAATTTTGGTGAATTTAGTTAAAAAGACACTGAGAATTGTCTAGTAAAACATGATTGTACCAGTAAGCACTTTTCTGCATTAAAAAATTCAGGAAAGCAAAGTATAACTTCTTAAATCATCCTTGGAGTCATAAGCTAGCTTATATACATTGTATTTGTGTTATGTTTCTTACTGTCAAAAAATTAATTATTTTTTAGCATTTGTAAAAATAAAATTTGTATTTTTGTTTACAGAAGCCTGAGAAAATAAATTTCTACATAAATTTTTGCTCCTGGAAGAGAATACCACCACCAGCAAATGCGGAAGAACCAGTTAAAGTGACTGGTTGTGCAGTTAGTCAAATTAAAGAGGGTAAAGGTGCGTAACTGTTGCAACATCATGTTGTACTTTCACCTAATTGTCTCCCTTGAGTAAAAAACAATTCTGAAATGAGAAATAACTTCCAAATGATTTTACAATCTTTTTTTAAAAATATACACTTGACCGTACATTTGATATGTTTTAGGCCTTGATATACTCGCTGCCTTTGATTTAGCCCTTTTTATATTGCAAAATAGATATTGATATGTCAATGATATGTTTGTAGTGATAGACATTTGTTTTAATAGATTTATTAGAAAGGTCTTTCAAATAGAAATTGCTTTTGTCCTCAAAATTGATAATGATTGCCCTAATCTTCATTATTGCTATTAGAATTATTGCCCTCAGTCAGCCATCAGTTTGCTATATGATTGCCCTTATCTTCAAAACTGCTTAATGATTGCCCTCATTTCCAGTTTTGCAAAATGATTGCCTTTCATTCTGAAAATTACAAAATGTTTGCTCTTTTTCTCAAAATTGATCGATTGCCATTTATCTCAAATGTGTAACATGATTGCCCTTGTCCCATAAGTTGGTAACTGATTGCCCTCATCCTAAAAAAATGCATGATGATTACACTTACCTTAAAAATTGCTATATGATTGCTCTTGTCCTCAAATTTTGCTAAAAAATAATAATTGCCCTCATTTTAAAAATTGATAAATGATTGCCCTTGTCCACAAAAATAACTGAGCAATTGCCCTTATCCTCAAAATTGCCAAATGTTGACCCTAGTCCTTAAAATTGCTCAATGATTACGCTTATCCCACAAAATTGCAAAATGATTGCCATCATCCTGAAAATTGCTTTATGCTTGCCCTTGTGCTGAAAGTTGCTAAATTTTTGCCTTCATCCTTGACCTGACATTTGCTTAATGAATCCCCTTGACCTCAAATTTGCTAGATGGTTATATTTGTCCTCAAAATTGCTAAATGAATTCTCTATTGCACTTGACCTCAAATTTGGTAATCAAATGTCTTTGTCCTCAAAATTGCTTAATGGTTGCCTTATTTACATTTGTTAAATTTCAGGTACTAAGACTGCCACTTCAGTGGCTTTTAATGGAAAGATCTTAGATGAATGTGGGAGAAATCCTGTAAACAAAGAAGATCAGCATGTTCTTATACAAATAGCCATGGACTTTATAGAGAAACAAAACCCACATATTGTTCTGAAACGAAACTATAAAATACTTGAGCAAGCACATATGGGTAATGTTAAACAACTTCAAGAAAGTTTACTACTGTCTTTTAATAGCAAGAATAAGAATCAGGAAGACAATGTGGAAAATGTTCTCAAACATTTTGCTCCTCCAACTGTTGAATTGCCAAATGAGTTCAACAAGGAAACAGAAGATATTTCAGGGATAACTCTGAATACTAAACCTGTGAAAAAAGGCCTAATAGAGGAAGTATCTTCTACAGCAGTTACATTACCGGAACCAGGTTTTGATTTGAACATTGTTCAGACTGACTCAAAGACATGCAAAAAATTAGTGTTGAAAGTTTATTTGCCTGGTGTGAAGTCTGTGTCACAGTGTGAACTGGATATATCACAGGTATAGTATTATAGTGCTAAACCTTCTAAACTTGTAATGTGAAATCCTCCAGCTTTGAATTTGGACCAGTAGATGACTTGTCCTAAGTCTAAAATCGGGCATAAGACCAAAACGGAGACAATTTTGCGTTTCAAAGAAAATGTCCTAAATTTTGACTCCTATGTTATGACTCTCTGAATAGCAATGCTAATGGGCAGTAAAGCTACACATTACGAATAAAAGGGTCTGTCATTGTATTTCTAAACTTTCTAAGGAGAATGCATTTATTTATTGTGTTGAGTATTTGACTGATAATGAAAAGGTCTTAAGTTAGTCCTGAAGTTGGTTTTATATCCTAAGACTTAGGATACACATAGGATTTTCTATGAAATGCAGCCCAGCTCATAAGTATATTAATGGATTTCAATATAAAGCACTGAGATCCAGCATTCAGCAATCAAACTGCATAGATCACGTGTAAGCTGGTCTGACCCTAAAGTGATAGTGGTAATAAGTTATTATCACCTTAATCACTGAATAACACTATATCATGCTGAATATCTTGACTGGACTTGTCCATCTTCCAATCTGAACAATATAAACCGTTACTTTGTCATCTTTAGGGAACATTTCAAAATATATGCAGATTTTTGTGTGTATATATTTATAATTTTTCTTTATTTTTTTATTTATTCTTTTTCAGGATGATGTATACCTACTTGTAGAAGGAGAGTACGAGCTAAAACTTCCACTCCCCTGCCATATAGTCTACTCCGAAGCTGCAGCAAAATTTATCAAAAAATCAGAGACTCTGTCCATTACCTTGCCAATAAAAGAATGATCCTTTAGTTACATGAGCAAGAAATGAAAATGATTGAAAGGTATTTAAGGAGGAAAAAGAAGATTAATATGATAACAAGTAAACTCATTGGCAGGAGTTTCAATTCCTCTTGGAACATTTAACTCTGTTTTGTGAACAAGCTTGTCATAAACTAGCTGTGGTGGTCAGATGCAGACTGTTACTCGTTCCTGAAGGTGTGCACAAAGGTGCATCCATGTCACCTGCATATTCTTATATAACATTTATATTGTTGTTTTTAGTAAAACAACACCAAAAATAACAAACTCATCAGTGGTTCAAAGAACAAAATCCAACATACAACTTATTGCTTATAAAAAAAGTATGAAAACTGTTTTCTTAAGTTCCATTCATGCACGGCTCCATTTTGAGTCTTTTTGTTATAACATGTACATATTTTAGTACATGAGTTTTAAAATGCATTTAAATATTATTTAATTAATAAAAACAATAATAACAATTTACAGTTGTTAAAGTAAATTGATTGCATGCCTATTCAAGCTATTGTAACTTTCTGTATGGTCATATTTTACTTTCTATTTGTTGATTTGTTTGTTCTCTAGTCAGGTGCTCCCTAATGAGCCATGTCTTGAAATGACAAAGTTTGAAAATCTCAATGAAGCAAGATTTAAACTACATGTATTGTATTTTGTATTGATTATACAATAAGAATTAAATGAAATTTCATTACGTATTCCATGGTTATAGTTAGTGGCTTCTCACTTTATATGTCTTGAAGCCACAAATGATGCACGCTAGTCCAAATGTGTATGTCTAGTTATTTCCCTTTGCAAATGTAACTTCAAATTTGTATTTCTAGTTATCTCCCTTTCTCAAAGCAAGTCTTAATGTGTATCAATCTCCTACGCAGTGATCTTCCCTTATCAGGCCATCCTTAAAAAAATGTTTGTTTGCAGTAACGCGACCGACTCACAAAATTTGCCCCCACTCAAATTTTTTTTCTTGGTCTGGATAAAAAATTATTTTTTTTTGAATCAGAAAATTATGCCTTGTGCTTTAAGGTTAATAGAAGAAATAAAATGTAGTTCTTATTAAATTAGAATTCAGTTATCAATTTATTAATTATTACCAGATTATCAAAGCATATATTGTCCAGCATTTTGAAATTCCATGTTTGGGAGTACAGTTCAATAATAAAAAAAAAAAATCGACCTACCTACCCACCTTGAAAATTCTGGGTCGGGTAACTGCAAACAAACATTTTTTTAAGGACGGCCTCAGTACAGAGATACAGAGGCTTGCATAATGATTTTATTCAACTTGTTCAATAAATTTAGTATTAAACTTTCACTCATTCAATATCCTCTATTTATCTCCCTATTAAAGCAAGTCCAAATTTGTATTTCTTGTTTTTGTGATCATTGGACTTATTCTAGCTAAATTATGAAAATTTATAAAGTATAAGAAACATACAGATATTTACAATCTAAATATAAACACTTTCCACATAATATGCAAATAAATTATGAGTGAATTTACTATAAGTCCAGGGGCAGGGCCAATATTAATACAAAGGGCATGATTATAACCAGTTTTGTAGAGGCATAAATGCAATGTATACCAACTTTATTAACTAATTAAGTGACCCCCGGCCAAGGGACCAATTAAGGGGCATGATTAATACCAGTTATGTTGTGATCCACAAAGGTGATGTTATATGCCGAAAAATCTAAGCTCGAGGCATCGTTGTTTCACACAGTAAGTCTTATACGGTATGTGTGTTTCCTATATAAGTCAATAGATATATTATATATAAATTAAGTGACCCCTGGGGTGGGGCTAATATTGAACCAAGGGGCATGATTCATATCAGTTTTATAAAGGTAAATAAAGCAATGCTACATGCTTAATATCTGAGCTCTAGACATTTTAGTTGCACACAATGAAACTTAAATGTGTTTTCCTTATTTATTTATTTATAAACAAAACTCATGGCCCTTAAGGGCATAAGAGTGAACAATCAACAAAACAAAAAATAATAATACAAACATGGCATGAAGTAAATAAGTAAATAAGGAAGATGACTTATTGAAATTTCAGCATTATAGCTTTGACAAAAATGGCTAGATTAAATAAAGTATTTCTGTTGTCGCTACACATAAGAGCCTGAAAATTTAAAATACTAGGAAACCTTGAATAATAGTTACTGATATACCTGTGTCTTTCATGATTAAAATAAGTACATTTAAAAATATAATGAAATTCATCACCTATTTCTTGCTGATTACAAAGTGAGCATGTTCTATTTTCTCTTTCAATACCAAAATAGCGACCTTTCTCTATAGGAATATTAGAATTGAGACATCTAAATTTACAGAGAGCAATTGCTAAATTTCTTGGTAAACATAGTAAATAATGTTCTAGTTTAAATTGAGTTTTATATATTCTATAGTTTAAACACTTAGCAGAATCAAAAACATCACTATTCCATACTTGTAAAAACTGATCACGTAATCGTGATTTTATTACATATTTAAAATTATTAAAATTTGCAACATTCTGAGTTATCCAAAAATCAGAACAACCAAGATTATTCAAAGTAGATTTTACTTTCTCGATCCACTGACAATGTAAAATACCCTTTTCATGAAGATTATACATAGTGCGGTACAAAGAAGCACATATTTTATCATTTTTACCATTAACTAATTTACTCCAAAAATTTAACATTCTGCAAGTAATATCATTTTCAATAGGAAATGCACCTAGTTCTCCCAAGACCATAACCGAAGGAGTTGACATCTTAAGTTTAAGTATATATTTATAAAATTTTCAATTGAAACTGAGAAATAATAGAATTATTTTCAGATCCCCACACCTCCGACCCATACAATAATATTGGCTTAACCATACTATCAAACAACTGTAACTGAATATCAATTGGCAAACACAATTTCTTAATTTTAGTTAAAATACTAAACATAGCCTTCCTCGCTTGATCTGTCAAGTGCTTTTTTGTTTTATTAAATTTACCATTAAAGTTGAATATCACACCTAAATAACTAAAATCATCTACAGCTTCTAGAGGTGCATTATTGAAATAAAATACAGGCTTATTTCTTAATTTACCACGAGAAAATACAACAACTTTTGTCTTATCGGTATTAACAGTCAAATGCCATAATTTACAATAATCAAGCATGCAGTTTAGTGCTGTTTGAAGGCCAGTTTGACTTTCCGCGAAAACAACTGTATCATCAGCATAGAGTAATAAGTGCAACTTCAAGAATACATCAACTTCATCATTACTTAACTGTTCATTTATCTGGTCTGATAAAAACTGCAACCCTTCACAATATGTAGACATATAAGAAACCAAATCATTAAGGAAAATTGAAAACAAAATTGGAGAAAGATTTTCTCCCTGACGGACACCTAAACAGCTTACAATTGTATCTGACAATGAATTATTCACTTTAACACAATACTTAGCTTTGTCATAGATATTATGAATAACTTTAAGTATTTTCCCATCAATATTATGTGCTAACAATTTCCTCCAGAGAGCAGTACGGTTTATACTATCAAATGCTTTCTTGTAATCAATAAAAGAGCAATACAATCTCTTTTTCTTCGATAAGTAAATATCAATCAACATTTTTAAGGAAAAAATATGATCCGTAGTTCCATAACCATTACGAAACCCTGCCTGTTACTCAATTAATAGGCCATAGTCTATATAAATCAAGTAATCTAACGGGCGGGGCCAATTTTGATCTCGGGGGGGGGGGGGACCCAAACCCGTGTTCTGCACACCGTCTCATTAGAAGTAATATTTGTGCCAAAATGTTTTAATTTTTTTCTATCCGTTCAAAAGATACAGAGCGGACTTGATACGAAATACAAAGTGTGACCTTGCCTATGACCTGAGGAATGTCAGACCTGCGCTCTGCACATCATCTCATTATAGTTAACATTACTACAAGTAGTTTCAATTTCCTTCCATGTGCAAAATGTTACATATATACGCAGAATTTGTTTTTTGGAGTATCAAAAGTTGATCGTGGTTCCGCTTGCGGTGGCTTTTGTTTCAAGTTTTTTTTAAGCAAGTTGATTTATCAGAAGTGCTTTCATATCAATAAGGAAAAAAAAATGTAAATTTGAAATCTCATTCTCATGCTTGTCTAGTTAAACTAACCTATAAGATATCAAAATAGTCATTGACTTTTTTGTTCGCAGAGTTAAACATAAGGACTTTTGAAGTACGACACATCAATATGATTATATACTAGCATGTGTCAGTATGATCAAACGTCATTCTTTTACAGATTTTAATACTAAGTGCCGTGTGGTAGCGGTTAAAAGTTGCCCCGTACTTCACTTTAGTGCGTTTATTTTACATATTTTTCTGTTCCAGACGTGAAAGACATTGCCCTCAATAAAACCGTGTAATTTTGTTGTTTTCGTTGCTCCCGACGGACCCTCCCATCTCAAGATTTGTAATTTCATTGAAAATGAGGGCTGGCATCTGGCCTTGACTATAAATAATTTCCTTTTATAATAAAATTTTACCACCTTGTATGACAGACTATCTGCAATGCACACAATATTATGTTGTTGGATACTTCTAATGGTTATCTAAAAAGTTGGCTGCATATTGGAAAAAACAATATGTGAAACTAATTACATAGTTTTTGAAACAAATGTCTACATCGAGTCACATTAATAAGTTAATGTTAACCAGCATTAAAAATCCTGTTACTCAATTTTTTAAGTTTTTTTTATCACAAATCTGATGCTCAAATGAAAATCTATCAATATTGTCAGTTCAAAAAAGCATTTTTTGCAAAGATATTACCGAATTCACAATTCATGTAAATAAAGGGAGGTAATAAGAAATCTATTTTCGAAAAGGTCTAAATAAAAAATGAATGCATAGACTTTAATGATTACTTATAATGCGAATAAACATTTGCAATACATAACATATTCTTGGATGTTTGGATTTGGAATTGTTTTAGAAGAATAATTATTATTATTATTATTATTATTATTTACCAAACTTATATAGCGCCCTTTTCATATACATGTTCAAAGGCGCTTTACAATGATATAAACTAATAACTAATTACAGCAGTACAATTTAAAAACTAAAACAGCATTCACATAATAAATCTACGACATAATAAGAACAAGAATATGAGACAATCAATTAAAATGTGGTATTTACCGTTTTACAATGATATAAAAACTAATAACTAATTACAGCAATACAATTTAAAATACTATAACAGCATTTACATAATAAATCTACGACATACTAAGAACAAGAATATGAAACAATCAATTAAAATGTGGTATTAACTTAGTCGTTTAGAATTAAAATAATTGAATATCGACAACATACGATAAAATATTCTAGCAAAATTTCTAAAACACCAAATTAGAAATAATGTATTTTATAATCAACACCTTAATTATTTGTAACTGTGTTAAAAATATTAGCAGAATTAAAACAAATTGTAAAATTATGGTTGATATCACACAGTAGTCACACAGTTTTCTAAAATCACTGTCTCAGATTATTCACGATAAAATATAGGCTTGTTTGAAATAGTGTGTTTTAAGTGCACGTTTAAAAGAACACAATGAGCTCGAGTCTCTCACACCAGACGGCAGATCGTTCCACAGTTTCGGAGCTGCATATTCAAATCGTCGGTCGCCAAAGGTTACAGTTTTACTCGTTGGTACCACTAAAGTAAGTGCTTTGTTCTGAGATCGTAGATTCCTTCGTGGTTTGTAAACACATAACATTTCTTCCATATATTCCGGCGATTTTCCATTTAAAGCTTTGTAGGTATGTGTTAAAATTTTAAACTGGATTCTGTATTGCACCGGAAGCCAATGTAATTCTTTAAGTACAGGTGTAATATGATCGTACCGTGAAGTTCTGGAGATGATGCGGGCAGCTGTATTTTGAACAATCTGCAGTTTGTTTATTAATGTTTGAGGTACTCCATACAATAATGCATTGCAGTAATCTAGGCGCGAAATGACCAATGAAGTGACAAGTTGTTTAGATGCATCAATTGTCAGATATTTTCGAATTCTTCCTATTTGTCTAAGCTGATCATAACATGATCTGCATACCGAATTGATGTGATCTTCCATGTTCATGTTTGAATCAAAGATGGCACCTAAATTTCTAACATTGACCGATTTGTTTATTTTAGAGTCACCCACGGTTATCGATAGATCTTCAATGTGTTTGGAGTTATACGGAGATGAGAACATGATGACTTCTGTTTTATCAGTATTTAGTTTAAGCATGTTTTCATTCATCCATGATATTATGTCTCGGAGACACGCTTGAATGCGTTGTAATGTTTCTTCCTTAGAAATGTCATCTAATGGTTTGAAAGATAGATACAGCTGTGAGTCATCGGCGTAGAGATGGTATTGCAGTCCGTGATCTTTGCAAATGGCACCAAGTGGTTTAGTGTACATAGTATAGAATTTTGGCCCTAAAACGGACCCCTGTGGAACACTAAAATTAAGTGTGACCGGCTTTGACAGCACACCGTTAATGTATACTGTCTGTTTTCTATCTTTAAGGTATGATGTTATCCACTCCAGTGGTTTTTCAGCAATTCCGAAAACATTTTCAAGTCTCTGTACTAAGGTTTTGTGATCTATTGTGTCGAAAGCTGCTGATAGATCTAGCATAACTAAGATTGTCACATTTCCATGGTCAAGGGATTTTAGTACATCATTTTGGACTTTGATAAGTGCAGTCTCTGTCGAATGGAACTTGCGATAGGCTGACTGATACTTTTCTTGAAATTGATTTGTTGTCACATGTTCATCAATGCGAGAGCTTACTACTCTTTCAAGTGTTTTCGATACAAACGATAAATTTGAAACAGGTCGATAGTTTTTTAAAATGTTTTGATCCAATGTTGGTTTTTTCAGAAGGGGTTTAACATAAGACCTTTTAAACTCTGCGGGAACATTTCCTGTACTGAGAGAGATGTTGATAATGTTAGAAAGAAATGGTAAAAGTTCATCAAGGCACGATTTTAATAGCCATGTTGGTATAGGATCCAGTTCACATGATTTATTTGAAGAACTATTTATTATTTTCTTAATTTCTTCTTTTGATGCTTTCTCAAAGCGAGTCAGACTATTTTCAACGCCCATCTGTTCCGTTTCCACGTCACCTGGGTTTAGAACTAATTTTGATTTTATTTCATCCCTGATGGTCTCTATTTTCTCAACAAAGAAATCACTGAACTCTTGTGGCAATTTATCAGTTTCTATGTTTGTGGGTAAAGATGTCTCAGTTGGACCATTCATTAGGTTATTGGTAATTTGAAACAATTGTTTTTGATCTCGACCACAGGATGTTACCTTATCAGAATAATGTTTTACTTTAGCCTCAACCAACATTTTATTTACTTTTGCACATTGATTTCTATATATTTCGTGGTCTATAGTCAATTTAGATGATTGCCAATTTCTTTCTAACTTGCGCCGCATATGTTTTGCGTCATGTAGCTCCTGGGTATACCAAGCACAAGAAGGTCGTAACACTATTGTTTTAGTTTGAATTGGAGCGTGCTTTTCGAGCAAGGTGGAAAGAACATTCGTATATTCTCCTACAAGTTGTTCGAGATCGGTGTGTTCAAGATGTAAGAGTGTTGATGATTCAATATCACTCTTAAAGGAATCTATATCAATTGAGTTGAGTTTTCTATACGTCACTGACTTTCGGATAGGCGGAGGTTTTTCAGCAATGGTATTGAATATAATTGCATAATGATCTTTTGTCACTTTTCCAGATTTGTTGTCTGATAAACCTGGATCAACAACCTTAATGTTCGAAATTAAGATGTCAGTGTCCCTAGTAATGACAACATCAAGTGTATGTCCAAGCACATGGGTTGGTTCTCGAACATGTTGTACCATTCCACATGATTGTAGAATGCTTGTGAATTTGATTGTGTCAGGTTGAGTGGGGATATCCAGGTGGAAGTTCAGATCTCCTGTTATTATAATGTTCTTATCAGTCACAGCAAATTGTGCTAGGAATTTTGCCCATTCTTCTAGAAATACACTAGTTTTTAATTCATTTCCTTTAGATGGGGGTGGTCGGTAAACAACAGCTAACCTCATTGAATAATTTTTGATTGTTATCTTGCAATCCAAATGTTCAAATGTTGAGTACTCACTATCATGAGTTGATGCTAGAACCTTAACATTTATATTTGACTTATAAATCACGGCGACACCACCATAACCTCTCCCACCAGGGCGCGGGGCATGTTTTATCTGATACCCCTCTGGCAAAAGTTCATTCAGACATACTTTGTCAACTGAAGTTCCAAGCCATGATTCGGTGATTGCAACCAAATCGAATTTGTAGGAAAGTATAAAATCACAAATGGCCAGAGTTTTATTTTTAACTGATCTTGGGTTAATGCAACATACATTTAACTTTCTTTGGCCTTTAACTGCAGAAATAGGTTCGTACTGTATTGTGGTCAGTGTCTTAATTCTAATCTGATCATTGTCATTTTGTGGTATTGTATTATATCTATTTGTCAATTTTACTGTTGAAATTGCCTCTGGTAAGTATTGCAGGTTTGAAAAGTTTACTCCATCATTGCTGTCCCATAATTATACATATATAAAATTTCACTTAAGTGTTGTTACATCCTTAATTACAACATACACTCAGGATCTTTAATATTTTATAAACATTTCGATAGTTCGAGTGCGCGGAAACAAATTAGGAAAATCCGCCGAAGATAAATCAGTTTCGGTCAATATGATCACTTATAAATAAACTTGCTCTGTGTAAAAATACAAGTTAACGTTAAGAATAAGAATTTCACGAATAAGAAAACTCTCTTAAATTGTTAACAAAAACTCCAAATGAAACACCTAGCCCGCCCACGGTCGAAACAAAATTTCATACGAACGCACTTAACAAGCTAGTTTCCGTTTGCGCGTCTATTGTCAATTTATATAAATTAATGAAGAAAGCACTTGAGATTGTGAAACACAATACAACATTTCATGTATTCATTTAACAACTTTGCTGAACTTTTATATTTTACACTTACTTCCTTGTCGAAAGAAAGTGATGTGTCAAAATGAGCAATAATTCAATTTACATTGTATAATGTATTTTTGCACCCCCCCCGCAAAAAAAAAAAAAAAAAAAGAAAAAAAAGAAAGAAAAATAACAACAACAACAACCCCCAAAAAGTACCCAACAACAAATGTACAAACAAACAAACATGAATGTAAAATTGTATTTTCATTTTTTTTTATCTTAATTTTTATGTTTTTTATGTCATGTATATATTGAAGAAACTATCGCATTCATTCAGAACCACGGATAATCACGAAAGTTGGGCGATTTATGTCGACATTAATAGTAATTTGTCGAGCCTTACGAATTTCGTCTACATTTTGCGGTAATTAAGATTTAACTATAATTATTGTAGATAAATATCATCATTCAAGTGCATCCGCCAATAACTGCGACTACACTTAGTCAAACTTAATAAAATTTCCTATGTTCAAAGTGTAACATTTACGGCGAAGACGTTTTAGAAGGAAGTGAATATGAAATGTGAAGCATGAAAATGGATTTATTCTTTTTATCTGTCCTGGTCACCGTATTTCAAGGTAAATATGTTCATTTGTTTTTCCTTCGTCTATTTTTTCGTTTAAGAATTAGAATTATCATAGTTTTAGTTTTAGTTTTATCATACATAAGTTAACAAAATATAATGTTTAATCATCGAAATATTGATAAACTATATGGCTTCAAGAACAAGCTATGATTGTATATTCGGACTTAGTAAAGACATAGGACTTTTACGACGTAATACTGAATTTTTTATGCTTAAATATGATTATAAAAATGGGTGAGGGATTAACGAATAAAGTTTTTTTACATCAACATATCCATATCAACGTTTGTTTTTTTCTTTTAAAGAACTTTGAACTTCATTCGAACACGTGGGTGCATGTGATTTATGTTTTTTCCTTTGCGTCTTAATTTTTATGTTTGAATGTCTCCAACAATGACTTTCTTTATAAGATGACAAGTCAGTTTTAATATAAAACTTCCTTTTACAATGGGTCGTTCGTGACCAAGTGAGTAAGGTCGTTGGTCTTAATGCTGTTCTTCCCAACTCGCCAGTGTATGTGGATTCTTTTATGTGACCAAGCTATCCAGTAAGGTTGTCCTACTCAGGTGCTCGTTTGTGTCTCAAATAATGCACAAAAGGGCACCGAGGTCTTCCTCTACCAGTAAAGCTGTAAAGTCACCATATATGACCTCAAATGCGATGTAAAACCCGATAAAAATGTCAAACATTGATACACAGAAAATATCTAAAGCATAATACACGTCATGTATCTGTACGTAAAAAGCCACTGCAGTTAAGACAATTGTATTTCCATGCCATTTCAGCTTCATGGTCCTTCTTTGTTTCAAAATCAACACTGCAATGGTCAAGGAATAGAGATGGATGCGAGATAGCAACACCAACCATACAATATGGCCAGAAAGACCTTACCGTTGATATGAATGGACAAGCTATAGAACAAGAAGTCTGGGTCGGTTACTATCAACAAACTGCCTTGTTTGAGTACATAGGTAAATTCAAGTAATTTTGTTTGAAATAACAAATATCTATGTACAATGTATAATTCTAAGCAATATTCGATATGAAATTATACTTTTTTAACGTCATGGGTTCTTATGAAAATATGGGTCTTTTGATTTTGATAGCAATGTATATTCATAATTTTCCCTTCAATGTCAGGTATTTATGCCAACAAAGCCATACATTGTCCCGTCTATCGGCAATCTGTATAATGAAATTATAATAACGCAAATTGTTATTGACGACTAGTACATAAGAAAACCAAGCAGTTTTAGACTGTTTTCAAAGAACGGTGGGAAAATGTCGCACGAAAGTAAGATGACGTCAGCCGTTCAACGGCTACGTGAACGCGTGTAAAGTCATCATACAATGCTGAAACGCATTAGAAAAATAGCCGGTCATATATGTAATATATATGTAAGATATTCTAATTTAATAGCTTAGAAATGAATAATTATCATGTTGTTTTTATCTAGGGTGCATGAGTTCAGATGACTTAGATATACAAATACCTAAAATACAACTCGGTGAACGGAATATCGGACGGTGCTACTCTGCTTGTTCCCACTCGCCTTTTATCGGGATACAGAAGAGTAAGGTAGAGCATTGTTTTAACGATAATCTTCATTCAATTTAGAATTTTTCTACAGCATTAAGACATTAGTTTTACAAGTATGAATGTTAACAAGAGCCACCGCCTTTCTAAATTCAAAACATCGGAGGAAAAATATTGTAGCAAAGAATTCTTCAAGACAACATCATTTGGTTTGCAAAAAAGTATAATTACAATTAAAATTTCATACTTGACATTGACAGTCAATGTCATTTACACATTAAGGTTATACCTAAATTATTCATCATAGTGGTATTGTTATAAGCGTTGTTTTGTCAAAATATGAATCAAACCTATCCATATAATTACTATTAAAGTTATGATATAAACATTTGAACAAGTCGGTCAAGGTCAGTTTAGTTTTAAGGTTAAACTTGAATTAAACAACATGTTCAGTTTTAATTTCAACAATAAGCTTTGTTTTGCCCAAGTATAAATTCAATCTATAAAAACATATTTTGATTTCTATAACATTTGCAAACATTTGCATTAAGAAAAATATTTTCACCTTCGTGATCAAGATCATTTTAAGGTCAAGGCCCTGTTTGATTTATACAATACATCTATTGTGTCAAATATGGCGTATATAGTTTATATTTTATTCGTAAATGAATTACAGTCATGTCAATTTAAACTAGATTAAATAATTTGGCCTTGATGGTCAAGGTCATTTAAAGCTTAAGGGCATATTTGAATAATTCAATATATCGGTTTGGTCATAGTGTTCTTCTGTCAAAGTATGAATCAAAGCTGTATGACACTTTAGCATATTTCAACAATTTTACACTCGAGGTCATTTTTTATGATCAAGGGGAGACTATTTTATGATAATATAGACAAATGTGCCTAAAGCCATTGGTCGGGTCTTGACAGCTGACCCCGAGTTTTAAACGTTTTTATCTTTTGTGAATGTGTTTATTTCAAATGCCTTCTGAAAGTAAAGAGGGCAGTGGTCTGCTTTATTGTGTTATCTCTAATGTTTTGTATATGCTTTTAGAATGTACATAACATGACTATGGTGCTTTGATATGTGAATACTAGAAGGTTCCTTGGTTTAACTAGCTGTAAATGAGTATCAATAGTCGGCTTATCAAAAACTATGTCTGTTAAAATACTCTTCTTTATAAAATATCTGTTACTAGGATATTTTATGAATAGTGTCTAGATAAACTTTTTTTCGGCAGATTAGCAACGGTTATAATATATAAAGACCACAATGTTAAAATTATGTGACATAAATTGTATGCCTCTTGAAGAACCCTTTTAGAACAAGGAAGATGAACTATGATTTTTGTTTTACGGGTGGAGGAAAACCCCAGGGGCCTGTCTGAAGATACTTTCAGGCACGAACGGGTACCTTAGTAGAACCACCGTAGTAACTTTACATGGGTATATTTAAAAGCTCTACAGCTTGCTTTACTTCTGTTTTTATCATGAAATGAAAGACACTGGGACCAACACATACGGGAAGCAACTGCCTAGTTGTTAATTTGTTAAAACAGATATTTTTTTGTTCTAGCCCCACTGAGGACATAACCATGTTGATGACACATGTACTAGTAAGTTCTAGAAAGTAAGCCCGAAAGTAGTTTGTTTAAGATATCGGGTTTTATCTCAATGGGGCTTAGATAGATATTTTAACGTAGATTCAAACGAATCAAAATCTATCATACAACTCCTTCCCGCTAAAATGACATTTGATTTGAAGTTTGTAGACTTTATTCTGATATCTACATGTACTAGCAAATCTGACAATAATGTTTTATGGTTATCTATAGAAAACATTGGCCCTCCCAAATTTTGTAGAATAAAGGGGGTCTAGAAATTGACACCGTCCGTCTGTACGTTCGTCCGTCTGTCAAACTGTATGTCTGTCCGTCACATTTTCGTGGCCGGTCCATAACTGTTTCATCCATCAAGGGATTTTGATTATACTTTGCACAAATGTTCACAATAATGAGACAATGTGACATTCGCCTAATCAACTACCTCCAAGGTCAATGTCGCATGTAGAGGTCAAAGCTTAACATGGTCTGTTATAGGGTAAATTTTGTGTCCGTTTCATAACTTTTTCATAGAGCAAGGGATTTTGAAATTACTTAGCACAAATGTTAACAATAATAAGACGATGTGTCATGCGCAACATCCGGACCCCTAACTCAAATGTCAAGCGCACACGGAGAGATTAAAGCTGCACATGGTTTATAATAGGGTATTTTTGTGTCCTATCAATATTGTTTTATCGACCAAGGGATTTTAAAATTACTTGGCACAAATGTTCACAATAATCGGACGACGTGTCACGCATAACAACCGGAATCCTACCTTCATGGTCAAGGTCATACTTAGGGATCATCTTAACATTGTTAGTTAATATAGGGTATATTTTGTGTCAGGTCAATCTTTTTTTCCCCCAGTAATTAATAGATTTTAAAATACCTCGGCACAAATGTTTACAATAATTACGGACCCGACACGAAACATACCCTGTAATAGACCAAACCCTGTTTTGATTTTCTATTTGTTACATTTTATGGCTTTGAAATAGTGATAACAACTATATATACAAACGAAATTTGTTGAAACATACACAGGATTTATTTCATTCTATATCTTTAATGAATTTATTGTTGCATGTGCAGAGTAGCATTGATAAAGAGTTTGCTCTGAAAGTTCGGATCCATATCTCATTCTTTTGAAATAGCACAATTTTGTACTGCATGTAAAAAGGGGACGTAGGTCACTCTGTTACAAATGCTTGTTTACAGTGTTATTGCATACCAGACATACCAAAGAAAAACATAAGACAACTTGGCTGCAATTATTGGTGTACTGACAGGTATAATGCTGCTTGTGGAGGACACACTTTCATTTCAGTGTACAGAATGTTATCTCACAACGGTACGTAAAGGATTACGTTTTGCCTTATGCTTTAACAAAATTCATTTTAACTTAATTAGAACTTCAAACCACTTGCCCTTCACCGCTCTTGGATTGTATTGCGCCACGGTCTTTAGAGGAAGCTATCAAGATAGTTAAAGGTACATCTGTGGTTGTACTTAGGTGCCCGTTCGTGACTGAAATAATGCACGGAGGGTTTTCTACCACTAGTTAAGATGGAAAGACGTCATATGACCTATTCTGCGTGTGCTTTCATCTAGTAAAATATAGTAAAGTTAACAAGCAAAGTAATTTAAGTCTATTGTTGATTGACTGTTTAGTCATGTTTTGTATCCGGGAAAAGTGATGGAGGAAGATATCAGGTACCCCTTCATGACTCTCTTACGAGCGGACAACCAATCGCATTCTTTCGACCATATTCGTCAAACTTCGGATAAGAGCCTCAAACACAATAGTAAGAATACTGTATTTCGGTTTTACCTACGCTACACTGTCGGGTACTTGAAACGGTGCAGATTTTCCGTGATACGGTGCTTCCATCCAAGATCGAGGAAGGTAAACAACAAGAAGGTTCATATATATCATATGTCATATCATATGTAACATACATTGTGAACTTATTGATCTTATTGTTACATTACATGCAACTATTCTTCTTTTACAATATAAAACGGATTTGTCTAAATACATAGAAATAAAATGACACGTGCATTCTTGTTGTATACCTTCCTCCATCATGGATTGAAGCACCCTATCACGGAAAATCTGCACCGTTTCAGGTACCCGACAATGCTCTAAGGAACTTAACATGTAAACCAATAGTAATTTATTGCTAGGAGTTAAATTTATTCCAATATATCGGGTAAAAGTCCAGCAAAAATAAGAAATTTAAAGGTATGAAAGTAAACAGTATATTATGTACAAACTTATTCTAATGGTTGTAGAAACGGAAAGTATTAAATATATACATGTCGACATTAATTCAGATTAAGATACAATTGTACATCGGTGGGCATTTTCTAAATTGATTATGATTGTGATTGTCAGACATATTTTCAATCATAATTTTACCGAAATAGACTATATTTTCCTTTGGATTTCAAATATATATATACATTCGCTACACATCACCAACTATTACACCTCTGTTTTTGTTTACATATAAAAACCACGTAGTAAAACTACTTTCAATCCGTAATAATTCCGGGGTTATTATGAATAATAGCCGAGATGTACCGATTGGTGGACACATAAGCAGCACAATCGACCTTCCGGAAGCAAACAAGATAGCTTCCTCGCATGAAATAATATAAGTCTCTGGAGGGAGTCGAACCCACTAAGGCAAGGGACAAGTTGTTCTGTCAACAATTTGACATCTCTGCTGATGGCTTGAATAGAGACTGACAAAAAAGTTTTATTTTTGAAATTTAGATTGTCATTCATATAGATGTATACATGCAACTTCAACTTCATGTTTATGTCCTTATCGGTAGACTCTAGACATATTCCTGAAAAACAAGAGTACAAAAAAAGATGTCTCAGATTAGATATCGACCAAACAGGAAATAAAACATATCAATGGAGACTTTGTTCCGACGAAATGTGGGTATTTTGTACGTCTGGTGAGTTTTGTTTATATTATAGCTATGATATTTTCCAGGTATATATGACTTACTGCACAATTTTAATATCATCTCAGCATTTAATAACGTTTAACTTAATAAACTTTAAAAGGCAATCTGATGTACGTAAATGGTTACAAAAGGAGCGACATGTTATAAGGGGAAAATTACAGCATGTATGTAAAGCTTTAACCCAACCTGCGTAAATGACCACGGGCGCAGCAATTTCTAAACATCTTTATATAACGGATTTATAATACAGCAAGATAAATTTATTTAAGGGGAAACGAAAATAATTCACTTTATAAATTATCAACAACCGTGTATATAGTTAATACAAGTTTGCGTCATTAAAAAATTAGAATGAGAGGTCTTTTTCATCTTGATTGCTCAAATGTCGAGAAAAAAGGAATTGAAAGGTTGAATTGCATTTGCGAACAATTGCGGCTATTTCTGTCAGTCTCCGAATAAGTTCTTATAAGGAATAATCAAGTTAAAGGAGTAGCAAGTACACGGTTTACACAGCCATATAACAGTGCTTGGTGTTATTGTAGCAATAAAGTGTTTACTGTGCATGGAAACAAGAAATAGTAAAACGATATTCAGAAAACAATTATCAATTTATACAGATGAAAAGATAAAAAACGGAATGAACCACTGTCCGTAGCGTAATGTAACATAAAAGATATTTCCCACCTGTTCTTTTACCGATTTTTTCTCCTCGATGTTATTTTGTCTTTTGAGTAGTATCGTGTTCTAGTCCGGTTGCAGCCGACAACTGTGGAGTGGATCTTTTGTTTTGGGTTTTACGTCACATCGACACAGTATAGGTCATATCGCAGCGTTCCAGCTTTACTGGTGGACGAAGACCTCAGGCGCCCTTCCGTGCATTATTTCAGGCACGAACGGGCACCTGAGTAGAACCACCGACGTTCCGTAAGCTAGCTGAAAGAATCCAAAGTCCCTGTTGGGATTCGAACCAACAGCGATGAGGGGCAAGTGGTTTGAAGTCAACGACCTTAACCACTCGGCCACGGACGCCCCATGGAGTGTATCTGATAACATCTCCAATAACCATCACGATTATCCAGTGAAAAGCGACGATAAAAACGTTCACTATTATAAAATGTTTTGACCCTGTTTACATGTACTGCTGCATTGTACGGATATGTTGAATGTCAGATGTACTGTTAAAATAGTAATGTTGTAAAAAACTTTATGTGTTTTTTTTAGATTTTAACCAATCAGTCAAAATTTGTTATAAAAAAAAAAGTTGGAGGAATGCAGCGTCACTGTGTTTTCAAACACATGGTTATCCGATTGGATATGAAAACGTACGGAATGTGATTTTCGTGGCCAAATACGGCTGGGCAGGGATCGTGTGGAGCGATGTAATTTTCAACGATAATGGTATTTTTTTCCATAAAATAATGTTTTCAGAAGATTGGAACGATTTTTGTAAACAACTACGTAAAACAAGAAAAAAGTTTCAAAATCCGAATTCCACACTGAAAAGCTCTAAATCATTTTGGTTTAGATTTCTGGATAAAAGAGTCTCCCAAAATCAAATACATGCAATTAAAGGTTTTCTTATATTATTAATACGTTTATGCGTAAATAACTAATACATGAATACATTCATGTGTAAATCACCAATGACCAATTAAGAAAACGCATTTGTTGATTTTTTATCTGTTTATTATCAGTAGTTACTTCTTTTACTTGAAAGAGAAATTAAATATAATCTAAATTATGCGATTCAGCAATTTGATTTTGTTTACTCATTTTAGATTTAGAAAACTCGAAAACTTTGTTGGACATCAGTTATGGGTATTTGAAATATGTTAGTCCTTACGGATATGTTTTACATTTTTCAAAAGAAGACACAGGAAAATATATTCTCTGCAATGGTAAGATTATTTTATTTATATTTATAAGTGTATTATTCGATTAGGTCAATTACAAAATATGTACAGGGCAAATTTTAATCATGCAATTGTAATGCGATCTTTCATTATGAAAACAAAAACAAAAGCAAAACAAACATAAAACCGAAAGAGAACTTGCAAATAATTTAGCGAACACTTTCATGCCGGTAAATGCAGTTTATTATAGTGCAAATAAACTTCTCGATTTTTCATTGGTCGAAACGTCCTTTTTATCATCATTGAATCTACGATTTATCAATTCAAGAGACCCTTTTGTCTCCTTACTTAAATAGCAAATAGCGGACATTCGTTGTTTCAATTTTTAAATCACCGTATCTTTTTGTCAGTCATTTTGCGATAATTACAAGTTTGATGATTGTTGCTCACTTTAAACATACTTTGTAACAAAAAAAAAAACACTTATTTTTGTACACGTACGATTATATATAATCACGAGGATGCACGATTTCGTTGATTTTGACATGCTTAAACATCTCTATTCAAAACCTTTCTAACGTTATTAACACGAGCCATCAGCTTAAAACAGTTTTAAACTACAAGAAATCGCAGTTTTAATAGAGTAAGTCGATGACTATTGTTGTAAAAATAAAATGGTCTGGAAACGGTTTGAGAATACATGTATTGGAGAAATAAGAGCTTAAGTAATGGTTCGCACAAAACTCCGTTATTCAGTAAAGCACATTTTTACTGATTTGGTGGAGGTAAATGTGTGTAATAAGGTATGAATGGGGAACAAAAATTCTGACTGGCACAACGGACCATGAGTTCCAAGAAGGTCATTTATTGAATATTCTTCTCCCGGGAAGGCAAACGTGTTTCATGTCGGTATTACCGAGATTTAACGCTATAAAAGGTCATGAAATATTGTCAGAAACTACGCCATGTCGAGATTTAGGTATATTCGTCTATTTCATGATAACACCCCATCGCATACATCTAAGATTGTGAAGTCAATTTTGTAGTTTGAGAAAATTACCCCTTTACCACACCAGCCATACTCTCAAGATCTAACCCCAAAAGACTCAAAAAGTTCTTATCATGTCGTCGACACAAGCCCCGACAGACCCTCAGTTAACTCATCAATCAATGCCTCAGAGGTTTACCTAAATCAGCGTACAGTGACACATTTCATAAAAGGATTCAGAGCTATAAATTATGCACATTGTATCATAAACTGCGGATATTTTTTTTTGAAAAAATGTCATTTTCATTCGGCAATTTTGGTCGCATGCTTTTTGAATAATATACAGCACATATTTAATATTTCATTATTATTGAAAATCATTAAAATTCGTTAACGAGCATCACTTGAGAAATTCCTCTCAACAGGAATCATTGGAAATAACAATAATTGAGTTTTTAACAATTGATAAAATGAACTTGTTAAGATTTGAGCTTTGTTATGTATTACTGTACACCTAGCTCAGTTAATTATCAAGACAACTGGCGATGCTAACTATATAAACAACCGGAATTGTATTTCTATAAACGATCAAAACTATATATTTCTGTTCATAAAACAGAAATGATTTTTTGGCTACTAAGTCTTTTCTTCATGTAACCGGTGCGTCAATAAAACGTTTCTTTGGTTCAGTGGTTTTAAGCATTGTATAACTTTGCATGTAAACTTTATTATTGCAGTCTCTTGTTCCGTTTCTTGTCAAATATGTTTAACGTCTTTTCACAGATACATCCGTGAGAACAGAAACAACAAAATTGACAACTATCGCTCGTGATACTTCGAGTACAAAACGTACGCATGTAACCTGTGTGTGATTTATGCATATATCTGTTCCGAGAAATTAATTTTAAATTTGATTATTAATCAATAATAATTTTAGGAAATTTAAGAAACTTATTAATTTCAAGCAATTATTATAATCTCATTTATAGATATCAATCTAACTTACGGAAAAAGTAATATTTATTAACAGTTATAAAACAGTAAAACAAGCTAAATTGTTTCATTATAAACAACCGCAATGGTATTTGTATTCACAACATGATTGGTTTTGTATATATAACCCAAATGTGTTTTTGTCTGAATTATCAAAACGATATCTATTCATATGACAGGAATGTTTTTGTAACTAATAAAGTCTTTCCTTCATGTAATCAGTGCGTCAGTAAATCGTTCATTTGGCTCAGTGGTTTAGAGCGCTTCATTAGATTGCGTTTAATTTTCATTGTACTAGTCTTGAGTTTCGTTTTAAGCCAATAATGTTCAACATCTTTTCACAGATACGCCTGTAGAAAAAGAAACAACACAATTGACAACTATCACAAGTGATGATAACTCTTCGCCTACAAAACATACTCATATAACCAGTATATGATTTATGCATTTATCCGTTATTATTATTTAAGAAAGTTATAATAATTGATATATTTTGAAGATTAAATAACCTTATTGATTTCAAGCAATCATTATAACCTCATTTAACGGGATCGACCTATCTAACAGAGTAAGAAAATATTATAACAGGTATTTAACAGTATATCAATTGTTCTGTGATAGGCATTGTCATTAATATAATATTTTGTGCAAGTATATGACTGTATTAATACTGATGTTCGGATATATACCATGTCTAAACTTATTGGTGTTTACAATGATTACAGCAACGACAACAGAACGACTTTCATCAACATCTTGGTCAAACACACCAAATACACACGTCTGTTTCGTTGGCTGACGAGATAAGAAAGTCACACAATGACTCATCAACCAAAGGTAAAGGACAAATCAAAATCGATTTAGTGCCTTTGTTTCATTTTCACAATGGTTCATGTGAGTGTGTAAAAGCATTCTCAGTGACTTGGATTGATATTTTAATAAGCAAGAATCAAATATTAGCAATACAAAAGAGAGAAAGAAAAAAATGGGGTGTGTAAAATTTTGAGCTGATCAAGTGGTGGTTGAGTATAAGAAAGAAGCCATTGTAAATGTGTAAACACTTACAAACCTAAATTCATTCTACATGTATTACTGAATCTTTTTCTTTAGCAGTATTTCTTGGTTTACAGGCATTACTTGCCTTTCTAGCGTCGATCTTTAGCGTTATTATTAACTTAAATCTCTATGAATAAAGACCGATACATGTTTATTTTCAGATACTGACATACCTGTCATTGTAGGCGTATCAGTTTCAGCTATCCTGGTTGTCGTTATAATTGTGATCATTCTGATCCTAGTCAAACGGTATGTTTCCTCATTTGAAAGGAATTTAGATACTATAAGCCTCCTTAGATGTTTTCATAGTGCAACGTAACTTACTTCTTGGTGAAGTTTACAAAAATATCAATGTTTCTTTTCCAAAACAGGATTGAAGTAAATCTTTTTCACAAGTATGTGTTGATATTTATGTATTTATGAAATATGCTTTATTTTATTTATCTGCTTTAGCATTTAAATAAAGTAATTCTAATTGGTTTTACATTTGTGATTTATTCTTCTTTTCTGCTGATACATTTTTATAGGAAGAAAATACGTTGTTGTACTGAAGGAAAGCAGTTAACTGAGGTGGCTGATCAAAAAAATTCAAAGACTAAAAATCCTATTTCACACGTAAACAATTCTTACGAGCTTGTTGATGCTGAATATATAGATACAGCTATCAAAACAACATCTGATTTGTGTGATGGCACTTACAACATGCCCGAACAAGAAGCAGATGAAGTAAACACAAACGTAACAACATACGACATCGCTGGTACCGACAGACAAACATTAAAACAGGAACACGACAATATATATAATAAACTGCAATCTGAAAGCAGTCCCATATATGATCACACCAATGATAAATCTAAAACTGGAATTCAAGCGTCTGATGATACATACAACACAACGAAAGATATATCAGCGAATTCTGGATTTAAACTTGGCGGCAATCATGCAGTTGGTATGAATACCATTGAAGAAAGCCCTTACAATCACACTAACTCTGATCCGTTTGAACAAAAACAAGTAGACAATGTCTACAACACTGCTAGCTTTTAGTAAAATGTTGAAAGGCAGGAACACGCACAATTCAATTTATAAGCTGATACAGAAGATTGATGAAATATAGTACAAACTGTATATTGTTATGCATTATTATATTTGTTATAAGACATTACGGAAAGTTATGTTGACATATATTTTATCTTTTGTAAAGCAAATTCCTTCTACGGTTATGAAGCCGCTCTAACACTATTAGTATATCGAGGAATGTTCGTAGAAAATATTCTTTATTCTGCATGACCTCTGTGTGGCATTGATTGCAAAAACGTTTTGAGCAGGTGCTCTAATGAACGCTGTAAATGATGAATGACCATTTTGTTTTGGTTTTCTCTGATCTTCTATGACCTGTATTGACATTCTCAAATAAATGTTTTTAGGAGGAACTCATAAAATAAAAATAGAGTCTATTGTCTTTTATGTGATAGGCTTATTTTTAAAACGGGATAGTAAATATAATAATCAATTAAGATTGATCGTACAGATTCAACAGATGTATTTACTAATTCCTTTACAAAGCTATGGACTATTCAATTGTGCTAATTAAGAAATACAAATCTGCAACGTGCTCAAGATGAGGTATTTTCAACACTCGCCTCCCGACGTCTGTCCGTTCGGGCTTGAGGGATATTATGGGATGAATATCCTTGTTCATTATGTACAGCCTTGTGGGGGTAAAAGTTTGCTGATGAGGTGAAAATATGTTGCTTATTGGGTTTCAGAGATCAAGGAAATAAGCCCATAATGGGAACTGAAGGAGAACATCCGTCCTTCCACACTTCTTTTGTAAACAACACCCCCTTAACCATTTGGTTAATAATACAAAAAACTTTGTAGGTTTTATTGTTAAAGTTAACGTTTGTGCTTATTTAATTATGAAAGGAAATATGCTATTACACATCAAACGTCTATTCCGGTAGAATTGCTTAATTTGTTTAATATTTTTTTATAAAGGAAGTAAAGGGTAAAAGAAGTTAAATCAATAAGTCAAGAATTATATTTTGTTTCTCAACCTTGAAAGTAAAGTGTTCATCACTTATATAAATATATAATATATTTTAATGTAAATACTACATGTAAGTACAAGGATTGTCCTAAAAGATCGCATAAAGTTCCGTAATGACAATTTTACATTTCTGAGGAAACATTTGTATTTACTATTGGAAGTCTCACGGCAAATTGTACGAAAAGTAGTATATGTCATTCAATCAAAATTTTGAAAAAATACACTAATACGTTCTTACAGCATACACAATTAACTAAACCAGATACAAAGAAAAGATAATCAAACATGACGTGGTTTGACGATAACGACAAGCGCAACATAACGAAGTTATGTGCATCTCTTTAAATATTGTCAAATTTTTTTAATGTATCAATCAAAATGATAATCAAAACAGATTTGAATATCTAGTACGGTTTACAAAAGACACGGGTTTGTGATAAAAACCACAGGCGAAACACCACGTGCACAACAAAATTCCTGTAGAGTTTCATGACCCTAGTTAAAATACTTTTGAGCTATGTGTGACACAAGTTGGAGATTACAAACGTTTAGTAAGTCAAGGGCAAAACATTTGACAAAACAAAATAAATCCACAAGTTAAACCCTAGGTGCATAGACTGAGCAACATTCCTGTAAAGTTTCATGACCCTAGGTCGAATAAGTTTTGAGCTACATGCGACGCAAATTGAAATTTGCAAATTTTTACTTTGTCAAGGGCAATAACTCTGACAAAATACTTAACTCTACAAAAACTAAATAAATCCACACGAACATACCCGGGTGCACATCTCAATCTAATTAAAATCAGCTTTAAATAACGCTCCGCTTTTAGATCTAACAGTGACCAAATACAAAGTCATTTCTGGTAACCTTTAACACAGCCATTCATCGGCGAGCTTTCATAATTTTGAAAGCGATGCAGTTTCTAATTTTAACCCTGGGAAAGACAATACTGAATAGGTTATTTTCACGATTTCAAGAACAAACATGGCGTTGTCATCAAGTTAACTGGCAAAAATAAAATCTTTGCTCATTAAAAATTGACTCTATTTTTTCAAGTTAATTTGTTAAAAATTACTTCAAACATTTTTTTTTCAACAAAAATCAACAATTTGTTAAATTTCCACGGATAACCGAATTTTGATAATTCGTCTACTGGCTATCTGTCAAAACCGATTTGATTGCATTGCTAAAAATAGCTTTCTCGGGAAATCCGAATTATAAAGAAGGCGAACCATATTCGGTCGTCATTAGATGCACAGGAAATAAATAAGTAGATCTGAACTTTAGTCACATTGGTGCACAACTACACATGCTGGGCAACATCCATGTAATGGTTCATGACTCTAGGTCAAATACTTTTTGAGCTACGTGCGACACAAAATGAGAACGGATGGACGGACAGACGGACAAGGGTCAATCTAAATGCCCCCTTATAGTGAGAGCACACAAATCGTCTTCCGTATATCAGTGTGTAATGACGGGAAATGACTAACGTCCGGCTAAGTTTGTGAATTAAGCAATAAGTGTTACTAAAGACATATACTACATACATGTATATCCTATAGTTCGTGCACAGCTACACGTACTTACCATTAAATTTCCTTATGTATGCACCAAGTTTGAATAATTTCATTTTCGGAAAAGACTCTTATAGAAGAATAAAAGCATACATGTGGAGAATGAAACTGGATATACTCATTCTTTGTACTATAGAGATCATATTTCAAGGTAAACTTCTTTATTATTTGTTGTATGTTGTTTTGTCATATAAATAACTTATAATTGATACTTAAATTAAATATATTATAATTGGTACTTAAATAATGTTTTAATAAAGACTTTGAAACGTTAATTTCTAATAACAGAGTTAGTTTAAGTTGAACCCATATAACCCGGATGGCTTCCGACATAAGAATTTATTCTGTTTAAACCTGTTTAAAGTTGGTATCCCGGTTACATAAATTTTCTGTAATAAAATAACACATGAACCATAGGTATGATATTTAACTAAAATGGAAGGGATGGGGAATGTACAGTTTACAAATTTGGAAAGTTTTTCTTTTGTGTCAACATGTCGATATTGCTATTGATAATTTTGAAAGAACCGTGTTGGAATTTCTTTTATCGCGTGAATCAATCTGCAAATTGTCTTTGCAATTTAAGTTTATGATGAAATATCTTAAAATAATATATGATAAACATAATCAACAGGGAAAGGCGGCGTTCAATGAACGCAACCCCCGCATGACTCTTCTTTTACAAGTTGACAAATTGAATGACGCTTAACAAATGTCAAGTATTTGTTAAAACAATTGTCAGAGGACCACCAACAGAATAAGGTTATTCAATTGAATTAAAAATATCCTTTGAGTAATTTCATGTTTGTTTTAGAGTCATGGTGTTATTATGTTTCGAATACAACATTTACATTGACAAAGAAGAGCAATAATTGTGAGATAGCTACACCTGCTGTACAATACGGTAACCAAAAGCTTACAGTTGATATGAATGGACATTCTATAAAGAAAGAGGTCTGGGTTTGTTACTATCAACAAACTGCTTTGTTTGAGTATATTGGTAAATTTTACGTTTTTATTGTTAAAATAAACAATTTTCTATGGAGCTTAAAAATCTGAAACTACATTTTACCTATGCGGGAAAGGTGGTATTATGCTTTGTAAAACATGACCCAAACATATATTTATAATTTTCTTAGACTTTCGAGTTGTTCAGAAAAAATATGTTAAACTTGATGGGGAATCGGACGATAAAGTGGATTGCCTCCGAAATTTTATTCATAACCAAATGTAAAATTTTTATTATTTATATAATGTTTGTTTTCTGAAGTATGCAAGAAAACATGTTTTCTCTATTTCAAATGTGCCGGTCACAACTGATATATGAATGCCTATGTTGTTGTTACATATAGGTTGCATGAGTTCGGAGGACTTACAAATACCCAAAATTCAACTCGGTACACCGAATATTGGACGATGTTATTCTGCTTGTTCCAACACGCCTTTTATCGGGATTCAGAGGAAAGAGGTATAGCATGATCGTTCACCTTATAAGCTTTAGCTGAGAGAACAGATGATACAGAGGTCTTTTCCACTGTAGATGTTTTGAATATGTTAATACCGTAACTATGACAACGGAATATGATGGCTCTTTTTACCGTGGCATATTTTATTAATAAGGAAATAAGTAGGAAATTGGAAATATGACATGTTAATTTTAAATAATAAATATTTTAACAGATCTTGTAAATTTTGATGAGTATATATGAAAGCTGTTTAGATTTTGTTATTATACTGAGGGTTTTGAAATATTTAATCACTTATGAATTTATATACATTAACATGAAGTAAATCTATTCTCTGTCTTTATAGTGTAAGCTATTTGGCTTCATCCTTTAATCACAATAAGATTTAGAAAGAAATATTAACTTTATATTTTAAACAAATCAAAATGTTCTCAGCAATATAGGCTAAACAATAACCATAAACCAGTTTTTAAAACAGACGGGTTGAAATATATTATGTTAAACTTAAGGTGGAACCCAACTAATAAATACCCCCGCTTTGAAGAGTATTCAATAGGCTTACTATAGTAATCAATTTTAACTGAGTGGCGTGGTTCCCCAGAGAGGGCAAAATTTGTTCTTTTTTCTTTTAACATTATTAAATTAATGGATCACTCAGATCCATTTTGGAAAGAATAAAGTGTTTAATTCAATTTATATAATAATTAAAGGTGTTAATTGGCTAAATAATGCTTTATTTATTGACAGATATGGTACCTGATATTTTCAAGTCAAATGAAATATTAAATACTCGATAAAAGTACATTGAACCTACATACTTTTGAGAAAATTAAGGGAAACTTTGATAATCCCCATATTTTGGTTATTTTTGAATTTGAATTAGGCTCTCTAAAAGAAAAATGGCTAAACAAGTGTATAAAGTGATGAGGTAGTGTAACATTTGTATACATATTTCAAATATTTTGAGCAAAATCAATTAATTTGCTCGGTAAAAGTACATTGAAAATTAAGGGAAACTTTGATTATCCCCATATTTTGGTTATTTTTGAATTTGAATTAGGCTCTCTAAGAGAAAAATGGCTAAACAAGTGTATAAAGTGATGAGGTAGTGTAACATTTGTATACATATTTCAAATATTTTGAGAAAAATCAATTATTTTAATGTTAATTAAATGTTATTATTTGTTACTAAACACTGATCAGTAGGAAAATATTTTTCGTAAGGATGTTATTATAGATTCTTAAACTGAAAATTAACCCTTCTTATATCTAAAAAGTGCCCTTAACTAGTAATTCGTAGGTATATTTTGATTACATTTTGCACACCGGCGTTCTTTGTTGACTGTTTGGCAGTTCCTTATAGTGCCAATAACAAGGGTCATACAACAAGAAGTTTTGTTTTGTTTTTTGTTTTGCCTGCAGGATGCAAGCTGAATAATCATCGTCCGAACCCTCTTCCCCATGAAATAGCTTTTTTGTTTTAATTAAATTATTGCATCTATTATGTACTGAATTTTCTACCACATTCTAATATGTAAACTCTGGGACACATTGTTATTTACAGTGCTACTGCATATCAGACAAACCAGTTATAAGTAGTATCAGAAATCCAAACTGCAATGCTGGATGTTCTGTTTTTTATAACGCTGCTTGTGGCGGAGACAAGGTCATTTCACTGTACAGAATGCTACCTCACAACGGTAAATACAACATTTTTTATATTTCATACATACCATTCATGTTTTAAATGTTATTTATATACAAATGTATTTTTATAGATCTATAATTGTAAAAGTTTAGACAAGTGACACAAATAATTTAAGCTATCATCATACACTAACAATAAATTTAGATTACATAATTTGTGCCAAAATACACAAAAAGTAGACATTTCTACGGAAGTAAATGGTTAATACATAGCGATAAAAATAATATGATATTATAATTTACATATATTAAGTAAAGTTATACGGACAGCAAATTAGAATATATATTGATTTATAACATATGAAACATTTGCTGAGGAATTATTTTTTGATCACATTGAGGCGTTGAAATTTAAGTATATTTATCATTATTTTCGGAAGAATCTAAACATATTCCTGCTGCAAAACAGGACAACAAAACTTGTCTCAAAATAGGTATCGACAAAAGTAAAGGAAACAAAACGTATGAATGGAAATATTGTTCCGAACAAATGCCGGCACTTTGCACATCTGGTGAGTGTTTACTAATTACAGAGTTTTTACTGCAGTATGCTTTATATGAAAGCCGTTCAATGTATAAAACTGTACAAAGAAAATAAATATAATAAATAAACATAAATGTTTATCCATGTTAAATTTCACAAATGCATCTTTATTACTACAATATACACATTTAGAATTCTTACTTTTTCATTCGAATTAATGAGATTTCGTTATATGTTTTGGGATAACTCGTTTATATTACAATATATAATGCTCACAGTTGCTGCAAAGCCGAATCAATCGAGTTATTGTGGGAATATGAATAATGTTTTCTATAATATATATAGCTAGCAAATATTTCACATTTCTTCTTTCCTGCTTTTGTAAGATTCAGACCGATCAGTACAAATAAATATGAAACAGAAAAGCTGGATGAATGCAGCGGCACTGTGCTTTCAAAGACATGGTTATCCGATTGGATATGAAGACGTACGGAATGTGAATGTCACTTACAACATGGCCAAAAACGGCTGGACAGGGATCGTTTGGAGCGATATAATTTACAATGAAACTGGTACTTGATGTTTTCAAAATGACATTCATAAACACCATTAAGTATCATAATAATTAAACTGATAAGATTTACTGCTATAGAAATAATTATTGATGTATATAGTATTTTCACCATTAGTTACTTATATGTTCTTATATATTCTATTCGTGTATAATAACGTGTAAAATAAAATAAGTACCATCATATAATTTAGACAATCAAGAAGCCTAAAAAGAGATATTTTTTTTTTTTTAGAATACCGAAAAAACTCGTCTGATATAAATCACGGGTATTTGAAATATGAGGTTTCCCTAGGATACGTTTTACATTTTTCAAAAGATTATGACGCCAGCAAATACATTCTCTGCAAAGGTAAGATTTTGCTTTTATCATGTCTCAATATACAATTCTTATAAAAACTATATGAATAAAAAAATAAATACAATATTATGTTGATAGTATCTAGCATAATTAAATGAGTAGATTGATGGAATATTAATCTTATTCCTGTGTAATGAATCTTCTTTATAGTATAACAAGGAAAATTTCCGTTTTATACAATTTCATTGATTGCGTTTTTAATCCCTGAAAAGCAAGTGTGTTGTTTCAAATATTTGCTGACACTGTGTACAAGGTAATGGTATATATTCTTAATTCTTGCGCGAGCATCAGTCTATATGTACATTGAATAAAAATTTCGTGAATTTTATTTGCTTTTTATAACATTAATATTTAATTAGCATGATTCAAATATCATTTATATATTTTCAAAGGTGAACCGGTGAGAATGGAAATTTGTGAGTTCATAACTAGCCAAAATGATAATAACCATTTATATACAAAACATACTCATAGTAAAGATAGCAAATGTATTTATTTTTTCTCAGTGTTTAAAGACTCTCTATGTTGATATTAAAAATGTCACATAACTGAAACTTTATACATGTATATCAGTCTCTTTCTAATCTCATCATTCGTTTCATTTATATTTCACATTATTATATTAACTACAAATAATTTTGTAAAACATATGGCTAATTATTGTGATCTTATTTATGAAAAGGAATACTAATGCTAGGATTTTAACTGTACACCATGTTAAGCTTGTAAATACTTAAAACACTTTCAGCGATGATAAGAACTAAAGCACACTCATCAATTCCAATGTCAAAAACGCCGGAAACACCTGTTACGCCGACTGGCGTGATGAAAAAGTCATCTTATGATTCATCATCCGATGGTATAAGATATAAGACAAATTTTACAATTGTTAGAATTTTCTTGTTGGAGTGCTATATTTATGTACTCATCAACAAACTTAGATGTTAGTATTTCCCATAAGAGCCAAATCGTATTTGTCTGTCAAACACCATTAACATACATATGTTTCTAAAAGTATGAACTCTTACGGGATAACATTCGTATGCATTTTACTCTTTCGAAAAGGTTCTTTTTCTGTTAAAAGTACTGCATTTTTATGGCAAAATAACAATACGAACATAATATCAATTAAGAGTAATTGATACATTGAAACAGCAACAGCAGCAATGATAGATCATACACTTATGTCTTTACATTCTTAAGTAATATGCACGCTAATGTCTTTGCAATTGCGAATGCAATTTCTTAAATTAATTGGATCATTTTTACATAATAGTGTATGATTTATGATCGGAATGTTTTCCCTGTAATCTTGTCAATCATATCAATGCAATGAAACATATTTCTGGTGTTTAATATTGAGCTGCTGAATTCGGTAAACCATTTAAAAAAGAGACTGAGAAAATCATTATAATTAGCATAATTTTGAATGAATTGATTAGAGTTTTGATATATAAAAAGAGGCAACCGCTTGTACTTATCCAGATACATTCATATATTCGATATCTTCCTTTTTCGGAAGCTAATTTGCTGTATCAGTTTTATTTTGTTTTTTTGGCATTATATTTTCTTTTATTTATTACTTGTTTTACTTGTATCATTCACTTTATTTCTAATACTGACATTTATATATCTGTTTTCAGACACTGATTTAACTGTTGTTGTAGGGGTATCAGTTTCAGCAACACTGCTTGTTGTTGTCATAGTGATCCTACTGGTTCTAGTCAAACGGTAAGGTTTATCAGAGAAAATTTAGTTTAAAAAACCTCCTGCATATTTGGATTTGATCTTAAACATTTTTTTGTCAACATTTAAAACATGCCGTTCAATACATTGAAACCATGGACGTTATTAGCTACAACTCTTTCTAACTGATATGTGATAGAGTTTTTGAGCAGATCCACATGCTTACAAAATTCAACCTTATTTTCTTACACAAGTTTTGATTTGATACTAAATAAGAACACGATTGTTTTCATTTTACTTGTAAAAACTTTTAGCTTGCTGAAACCTTGTCATTACTTTTTTCAAAAATATAAATAAAAGCAAACAACTTAATGTAGTTTGTGTTTAATGCATTTCAAACAGTATTACTTTAGTAATACATAGTTTTTACATAAAAGTTTTTTTATAAATTGGACATATTTATGAAATATATTTAGGTGATCAATTCTAATAAGGCTTTAGTATAATGAGTTATAAAGAATTATAACATATAATTTTATAGATTGTCGTAAAGATTTTTTATCTTCACATACCAGGTAACATATCAGTATATTTTGATTTAATAAAATATTTTGAATATTTTGAATTAATAAAAGCTTAACTACAATTGTCTACTGAAGTATTCAATAAGTAATGTCTAATTATTTTCATTCCTTTTTTGTTGTGATACATTTTTATAGGAAGAAAATTATTTGCTGTACTGGTGGGAAACAATCAGCTGAGGTAGCTGATCAAAAGCAAACAAAGACTAGAAGCCGTAATTCGCAATTAAACAGTTCATACGATTTTGTTGATGATGAATGTATAGATGCATCTTTCAAAGGAAATTATGATTCACCTGATAACACTTACAACATGCCTGACCAAGATGGAAACACTAAAAAAGCAGCATATGACATCGCTGGTAACGATAGACAAGCATTAAAAAAGAAACAAGACAATATATATAATAAACTTCAATCTGGAAACACTCCTATCTACGATCTTACAAATGATAAATCTAAAACTGAAATGCGAGCATTTGATGATACATACAACACAACGGCAGAGGCATCAATGAATTGCGTGATTAAATTTGGCAAGCATGCAATTGGTATGAACACCATTGAAGAAAGCCCTTACAATCATACCAACTCTGATCCGTTTGAAAGAAAACAAGTGGACAATGTCTATAACACTGCTAGCTTTCAGTAAAATATTTGAAAAGGAACACGCACAATTTATAAACTAACACATAAAGCATTTAATTTCTGAAATAAATTATAAAATACAAAAAAATGTAGTATGCATTATTTATAGCTATAATTGAGACAATGCTTAGAGTTTTGTCGACCCATATGAATGAACGTAAAAATATCATACGCTCTTTGTGATCTTGATTACAAAAGCATTATTTAAGACATGCGTAGTTCTTAAATATCTGAAAAAAGTGATCCATTGGAAGCCCTTAAAACAAGAAAATTACATGAAAATTGCCCACTCGGTTGGATTGAGTCTGTACATGAGGGATAATGAAAGAGTGCAACATCCCTCACTTCCCCCTAGCACAGACTTTAGCGGTACTCAATTCTCAACACTAAAAAGTGCTGGACTCAATGATTCCGAAGGACCAGAAAAAATATAACAACACTAAAGTAAAGTACGGGGTAACGTTTTCGGCTGCCACACAGCACTTAACACCTGCTGTTGTGATGTATAAATACCTGAAAAAAGTAATCCCTCGGAAGCATTAAAAACATTCTTAAAGCACGATGGTAAAAATGAAAAAAATCTATATGTGTAATGTTGGCACAATGAGTGTATTTTATAAATACTATTCATAGTAACAAACTAGTTCATTAAATTATTTCGAATGCATTAATAAACGTTACTGGTCTTTTCTATAGTTTCACTTCTTTTCCGGACGAATTACTTAATATTCTTTTAATATTTGTTAAATGCATACGATGTCTGATCAAAAAGTTCTCGACCCGATATACTTCTAGCCATTACACTGACATTTACACACGATACGTCGATACCGATATTTTATTGAAGATAACTGACCTAGTAACACGTTGTTTTACACTGATTAAGTAACATAAAACACACTTTGATCAGTACAGGGGTGTGTCATTTAGACCAAATGGAGAAAGTTGAAATCAGAGCCGTCATTTAGTACCTCTGGGATGTCCCCCAAGGAAATCCATTAGGACTTCATTGATACACTTTGGAAGGAGTCCCCTTCCTATAGCACTGTGAAAAAATGGGCTGCTGAATTTTATAGGGGCAGGGAGAGCATTGGAGATGATCAGCGGCTTGGGCGGCCAAAAGAGGCCACCAGCAATGAAACGGCCGAAGCTTGCACGATCTTGTCATGTGCGACAAAAGGCGAGACCCGCAAAGCATTGCTAGGGAGGTGTGTATAAGGTTTGGTTCAGTTCAGGCAATTCTAACTGATGTCTATGGCATGTCAAAGGTTTCCGCCAGCTGGGTCCCCAGACAATTGACTGACGACCAGAAACGGACCAGGCTTGACATTTCAAGATATCTTTTGTCTCGCTACGAGAATGAACCTGATTTTACCTTCCAGGTCGTAACTCAGGATGAAACATGGGTCCATCACTTAGATCCAGAATCCAAAACACAGAGTACAGAGTGGAAGCACCCTGGCTCACTCCCTCCGAAGAAATTCAAGAGGGTGCAATCAACAGGGAAGATGATGGCTTCATTTTCTTGAGATAGTCAGCGGATAATCATGATTATCTTGCGCAAGTTCGTACCATAAACGGTACGTTTACGCAGACGAATTGAGACGTCTGCGTGAAGAAATCGCGCGTAAAAAGAGGGACAACCTGACTCGAGGCGTTCTGCTTCTGTACGACAATGCGCCAGTTCACACATTTCAAGTAGCGATGGCAGCTGCAACTGACTGCGGCTTTGAAATTCTTACCCATCCCTCATTTTCTTCGGACTTGGCCCCTCTCACTTCTAGCTGTTTCCGAAACTGACAAAGCTTCTTGGTAGACGTTTTCGAAGCAATGAATGTGTCATGGAGGCGGTACATTTGTTCTTTGAGGACCAAAATAGAGAGTTCTATTTTGGATTGTTAAACTAATTGGAGAACAGGTGAGCAAAGTGAATTGATCTAGACGGCGATTATATTGAAAAATAGGACCATAAGTTGAGTTCTCTGAGTACCTGAAATATATCGGGGCGAGATTTTTTTGATCAATCCTCGTACATGTAGTGATACAGGTTATTCAATTTACACACAGACAGTCATCGATATTTGCATCGCAATGTCAACAAAATGCTCGTTTTATACATTTCTCCTCCAAAAGTCCTTGTAAATGCTATTTTTGATGTTGTTTTTACAAATAAACATGTAAAACATAAATCAAAAGTTAAATGATAATCAAATTGGGAAAATATTTGTTAAGTTCTGGATAATCACAAACACAAGAAAATTAGAAAACAGTGAACATCAACATGATGTCAATTATGAAAGAAAGTATCTTCTCTGCTCTGGCCCTTATAGCTTGAATCCTTCATTGCATGCTTCTTTCAATTCTTTCACATAATTCAGTGTGAACTGAATCCTAAACAACTTTCACATTTTGTTCCAGCTCACGGAGATTACGGCTATGCTTATTTTTGAGTTCAATTTTTACAATGTGCCACATATTTTCATCCATTCTAAACACTGGAAATCACTCTCCTCCTTACAGTGTACATCAAGTCTTGCGGTATGGCAGGTCGCTCTATCATCCTGGAAGATAAAATTGTTACCATACCCCCAATAAATGCTCCGAAGGCATAGTATAGTTTTCAAGAATCTTGAATGTATCCTTGTGTATAAATTAAGTCGGCCTTCAACATGCGACAGAAACCCAGTGCCCGTATAATTCATAGCTCCCAACACCATCACACTACCACCCCAAAATTTACAGCTGGAGTTATAGTTATCTCTTGATTGATGACCTGAACTTCTGCGAACATAGAGACGCCCATCACTTTGGAATACATAACATTTAGACTTTTAGAGCATTACAGTGGACTGATCAACCTAAGAACCAATCAGCATGTCCTCTGACAAAGTTCAAACGGAGTTTTCTATGTCTTGATGAAAGTAAAATGGCTTCTCTCATTTGTCGTAAACGTTTGGCCTCCATGTCCTAGCACGATCTTTGTGGCCTCTGGTCTCGTACCGTTTCAAAGTGTGGTATATCGTTGGTTTGAAGTTATTAAAAGACAGATTAAAATGATAAAAAATTATAACAGCAAGGTTAATACCGCAATTTGACTCTTTTTTTAGAAGAGACATGTTTAGAAAGCCAATCTCTTACCTTGGACGATCAATATGAATGGCGATATCAGCTACTGAGTCTTCCTGCTCCCTCATAATCTGGCATCGAAGTCTTTCCTCTAATGTTAGTATTTTGATTTGGAATTGATTTATAGCTTTTATATGCTCAATAAAGGCTCGCTTTTGATGTAAAACATGGTGGAAATATTTTTTAGAAAAACTTTATCTCAATTTCACTGATTACAAAGTTAAATGTCAAATATCTTATTTTAAGCACTTTTATCATTGAATTTTTAGTAAATGCTTATATGAACCATTCCCTTTTTTTCTGCCCATATACAGAACCAATAAACAGAACAAAATTTTATAAAACATTATTGACAGATGAAACAAAGGTTGCCTGTCAATGATGATTTTTATGTACGTCCAAGGACTTTTTGAGGGAACGTGTATAATTACATATATAAGATTACAAAACGGACTATATCAAAAAGGTTCATCTCCATATGCTCAAAAGAAACTCCAACCTAAATGCGATTATATAAATTTATTGAAATCAGTAAAATAAAAAAATTGTGCAGATAGATAGGATAAACATCTACACTTTTAAATTGCAATATTTCAGCGATATTTTCAGTTTCCCAATTAAAACACACAAAGTTTTAGGTAAGATAGATACAATATTTATATAATCTCTAAGAAAGATCTTTGAATCACGCGCCATTCTAGCCTCAAATTTAATGTGGGTCGGAATCTGGTTCAGACCATAGATATTTTCATATTTTTAAAGATGAAATTTGATCACTGTTTAAACTGTATATGCAAATCACGTTTGTTTGTTTTATTGAATTGTTGTGGACTACTTTAGACGAGGCTGCAAGCGGGATTAAACATATCGCAAAGGTTACCAGTACTTGATAACTTTGGGAAACTATTTCTACTCTTAATGTCGTCACGGTCGCGCAAAAAGCATTAATGATAATTATCTTCGATTTTTGAACGTGTTATAACGTTCAGTGATGTATTTTGACATAAATCATTATTTGCCGAACCAAGGTTTTTTGTTTCATATGCTTTTAGTATATAAAATTTACACAGAAACAAATTTCATATTAGTAACCCCTTAAAATGTATTGTTTTGGAATGTCTCAGCTATAGAAACCTAAAATGTCAGAGAATTTCAGAAAATCTTAATTAAAAACAATCATTTAAAATGATTCTCATATTGTTCCTCGTTATATTGGAGCTTATTTGATTTATGAACAACACGGTAAGAGGCGAAATATACTGGACATACTTTCAGATGCAGATCATACAAAAAGAAAAGAAAACCTCTAGTTTATTTAATAATTTGTTTCTTCTACCCTGCTAAATTTTAAGGAAACAAAATTTTTCAAACTTAAATTTTCTTTTTAAACTTACGTTTGTCAATTTAAGGTACACAGAGATTTTGACGACCCACATTGCTTTTAAATGTTTATATATTGATATTGTCAAATAGGATTTTGTTTTAAAGATTATATTTTTTATACCGATTGAAACTATCCTGCACGTGCTTGAAATTTATATTTTGTACTTTGGACACTCATGGTTGATTGTTACACGATAAGTTGGTTTCGATATATTGCAATATAAGTTCATATAGCTCACACTTTCCGAAACAACGCATTTTAAGGCGTAACTACTTAGATTAAGTATTTACATGTACATACATCTTAAGTGTGCAGCTACTTATAATTTATATATTAAAACTGTATAGATAATACGTCTGTTTTGTGCAATAAAATACACTTGAAGTATGGTACTTTGTATCAATTTTCGACAATGAATTAAAAAAATTGGATAGGACACAGATCTCGACGAAACAAAATTCAAAACAAAATACGTCTTTGACATTGTAGGTATCCTAAATTTACAAAGACATAACAATAAATTCGGTCGAGACATGTGTCCTATACGAAATTTCACTTCTTTCTTCCACTCTTGTCTGTATAAAAGGTTTTCGACAGCAACGTCTTTTTATCAGTGTTTGTTAAAGCAAATCAAAATTTTATTTCTAGTTTTTTTCCCTTTGCCAATGTAACTCTAAATTTGTATTTCTAGTTTTCTCCCTTTGCCAGTGTAACTCTAAATTTGTATTTCTCCTTATCCTATTTATTTCCCTTTGTTGAAGCAAAACAAATTTATATTTTTAGTTTTCACCTTTTGCCAAATATAACTCCAAATTCGTAAATTGTACTTCTATTTTTCCCTTTGCCAATGTAACTCCAAAATTGTATTTCTAGTTTAAGCAATTCTAGTTTTCTCCTTTTATGATCATTGGATTTATTCTAGCTATATTATGAAAATGTATAGAGTATAAGAAATGTATAGATATTTACAATCTATATAATTATAAACACTTTTCACATAATATGCAAATTATGAGTGAAAAACTATTAGTCCAGGGGTGGGAACAATATTTACCCATCGGGCATAATTATTACCAGTTTTGTAGAGGCAAACAAGGGATTGCTACATCTCAAATATCTGAACTCTAGGCATTGTAGTTTCACCAAAATAAGACTGAAATATGCTTTCTTATACTTACTTTATTTAACTAACAGACCGCCGGTCGGGGCAAATATTGGCCCAACGGGCATGATTAATACTAGTTATGTTGTGGTCTACAAAAGTGATGTTATATACCAAATACCAAAAATTTAAGCCCATGGCATCGTTGTTTCACACAGTAAGTCTTATACGATATGTATTTTTTCTATATAAGTATATATAAATCAATTGACTCCTGAGGCGGTGCTAATACTGAACGATGGGACATGATTCATATCAGTTTTGTAAAAGTTAATATTGCAATGCTACATACTAAATATCTGAGCCCTGGACATTGTAGTTGCACACAACGAACTTAAACCTGTTTTATTATGTAAGTCTATATAAATCAAGTAATCCTCGGGGTGGGGCCAATTTTGATTTCGGGAAATCCAAACCTGTGTTCTGCACATGTTCTTATTAGAAGTAATCTTTCTGCCAAAACGTTTTACTTTCTTTCAATCCCTTCAAAACATACAGAGAGAACATGAAATTTTAAAATTGATACGAAATACAAAGTGTGACCTTGTCAGTGACCTTGGGAATGTCAAACCTGCCCTCTGCACATAATCTGATTATAGTTACTATTTCTGTAATCATAGTTTCAATTTCCTTCCACCTGTTCAAACGATACAGACAGGACATGGAATCTGCTAACAGTCGAACGGACGGACAGACAACCAAGTGCATGATATTACATGTATACGCCGAATTTGCTTTTTTGCGTATAAAAACTTGAGCGTGGTCCCACTTGCGATGGTTCTTGATTCAAGTTGTTATTCCATATTTGATTATCAAAAGTGCTTTCATTTCAATAACAAAAAACAATGTTAATTAGAAATCTTATTCCCATGCTTGTCTAGTTAATTTGACATAATACAACAAAATAGTCATTTTTCTCAGAGTGAAACGTATGAACTTAGAAGTATCTGGAATTTTCATGTAATTTGGTTGTTTTCATTGCTTCCGACGGATCCTCCCATCTCAAGATTTGTAATCTCCGCATCTGGCCTTGGCTATAAATAATTTTCTTTTATAATAAGATTTAACCACCATGAATGACAGACTATCTGCAATGCTTACAATGTTAGTTGTTGAATACTTCTAATGATTATCTAAAACGTGGGCTGTATACTGGAATAAACATTCAGAAGTAAAAATATGTTATACTCATTACAAAGTTTTTGAAACAAATGTCTACATCAAGCATGTCAAGTATTCGTCAATTCCAGTCTGCTCCACTTACCACTTACCATTGAGTCGCATTGTCAAGTTAAAAATCATGTAACTCATTTTTTATGGTTTTACATCATAAATCTGATGCTCAAATGAAGATTTATCAATATTGTAAGTTCCAAAAAGCGCTATTTGCAAAGATATTACCGAATTTACAGTTCATGTAAATAAAGGGAGGTAGTTAAAAATCTATTTTCGATAAAGTCTAAGGCAAATTTTTCAAAAAGAAATGAAGGCATAGATTTTAATCATTACTTATAATGCGAATAAACATTTGCAGTACGTTCTTAACATATTCTTGGATATTTGGAATTTTGAATAATTAAATACATATATAAAATTCCAACAACCTTAATTATACAACATACAGGATCTTTAATATTTTATAAACATTTCGATAGTTCGAGTGCGCGAAAACAAATTAGGAAAATCCGGTGAAGATAAATCAGTTTCTGTCAATATGATCACTTATAAATCTTGTGTATAAACTTGCTGTGTGTAAAGATACAAGTTAATGTTAAGAATAAGAAATTCACGAATAAAAAAACTTTCTTAAATTGATACCAAAAACTCCAAATGAAATCATTTTATTTAAACCCTTCACCCGCCCACGGTCGGAAAAAAAACTCATACGAACGCATCTAACAAGCTAGTTTCCGTTTGCGCGTCAACTCCCAATTTTCAATGTACTTGAGATTGAGAAACACAATACAACACTACATGTAGTCATTTAACAACTTTGCTGAACTTTAACTCTTTAGCCAAAAGAAAGTTATGTGTCAAAATGAGCAATAATCTAATATACATTGTATAATTATATCGTTACAGGTATTTTCCAAAACCTAATCCCCCAAGAGAGAGAGAGAGAGAGAGAGAGAGAGAGGGAGAGAGGGAGAGAGAGAAAAAAATAACAAAAAACAAACAAAACAATAACAACAAACGAACAAACAAAAAGAAATGAATGTAAAATTGTATTTTTATTGTATCTTTATGATTATTTTTACATTATTTATTTATTCAGAACCATCGAGAATCACGAAAGTTCGGTGATCTAGTTCGGCATTAATCGTAATTTATCCAGTCTTACGAAGTTTCTTCTCATTTCACGATAATAAAGATTTAACTTTAATTATTGAAGATAGATATCATCATCCAAGTGCATCCGGTCACAATTGTGAAACTTGATTAAATTTCCTTATTCATCAAGTTCATATTCATTTTATTACATTTACGACGAAGACGTTTTAAAAGAAGGAAGTGAATCTGAAATGTGAATGAGGAAAATGGATTTATTCTTTTTATCTATACTGGTTACCGTATTCCAAGGTAAATGTTTTTTTGTTTTCCTTTGTTCTTTTCGTTTTAAAATAAGTATTCATTACCCCGTTTTTTCAATACATGAACTGGCATAATATTATATTTAATCATCGAAATATTAATTTACTATATGGCTTCAAGAACAAGCCATGATAATTCGGACTTATTAAAGACATTGGACTTTTCGACGTAATACTGAATTCTTTATGCTTAAATATGATTATGACAAAGAGATGAGGGATTAACGAATATTTTTGTTTTAAATCATCTACATAAATCATCCATATCAACGTTTGTTGTTTTTAATTAAGAACATGCTTGAACTTCATTCGAACACGTAGGTTCATGTGTTTGTAAGCTTTTATTTATGTATCTCGTTTGCTTCTTGAATTTTATATTTAAATGTCTCCAACAACTAGTTTCCTTATAAGATGACAAGTCGATTTTAATGAAACTTCCTTTAACAATGGGATGTCCATGACCGAGTGGTTAAAATCGTTGGTCTCAAACCATTTGATCCTCAATGCTGTGGGTACCAGTCCTGCCACTGTGCATGAATTTTGTCATGTGACCAATTTAACCATCCAGGTTTTTTTCTACTAAGGTGCTCATTTGTGCCTCTAATTATGAACGGAATGGCACCTGAGGTCTTCCTAAACCATTAAAACTGTAAAATACAGGAATCCGTAAAGAAAATCCAAAACGGCAAAATTGAAAATCGTACAGGCTCGGTTTGATTGAGCATGTTCATGGACGGTACTGTAAAGTGCAAACTACCGTCCACGCCCCCTAGCACCGACGTAAGCAGATTTCAACATTTTAACATGTAAATAGTAATCTTTTGGATTTAGAAACATACACAGATGTGTTCATACGGAAAACCCGATAAAAATGTCAAAGATTTTACAAATGGTCTTCATAGGACTCCCCAAAATATATCAAGCACACAGCAATGTTATATTTATATGTGTTAAAAGTTACTTCAATTACATCTTAAGTAAAAGGCAATTGTATTTTCATGCCATTTCAGCTTCATGGTCGTACTATGTTTCAAATTCAACACTGACATGGTCAAGGAAAAGTGATGAATGCAATACTCGTGTAGCGACACCTACCATACATTATGGACACACAGACCTTATCGTTGATATGAATGGACAGACTACAGAACAAAAAGTCTGGGTTGGTTACTATCAGCAAACTACCTTGTTTGAATACATAGGTAAATTCAAGTAATTCGTTTTATATAATCAGTTTGCAATATCAAAAAAATATGTTAAGATTGGATAAACGAGAGCTTATAATTGGTCTATTGATTCTACACAAACGTATATTTATATTATTCCTTGACGCCTAATAGATCAATAGCATGAGGATGAGAATATCTTGGATGCTGACAACCGGTACCACTTATATCTGTGTACAATAATAACTTATGAATAAGTGTAGCACAGTCAGCATTGCGTATTATATCATATCATATTTTGATCATATACGTATATTATCATTTAAGTTTTTATAATATCATATATCATATCATATCGTATCGTATCATAACATATGATGTCATATCAATATCATAACATAGCTATTTTGGGAAAAGGACCCTAGAATAAATTGGGAAAAATAATTTTACATTTTGGGAAACAAAAAAACAAAGAAAACAACAATGCAAAATAGTGATTTTTTTTGCAATTTTGAGAGGTCCCCCGTTGCCATGGTAACAGGAAAATTAAGATTGAGTATGCTGTTAGCACGACGCACAGAGCCAATGGTCCAGTCCACATTTGTGCCAAGTTCAATAAGTATTGAAGCATTTTTCATAGTTTCATAGCAGTTTGAACTTGTAACACGAGGCTTTTCAATGAAAACGGCCATTTTTCATAACATGCTCATGCAGTAAAGGGTTAATTCAATTTTTCTTAGAATTTGAAACAGTTTAAATTTTATGCTGCTTTTTTAATTAGGAAAATGAGGCTATTTTGGATTGGGAATGACGTCTTATTTCGGCCCCTGGTAATCTAGTGATAGGGTGAAAATGTTCTGTAAAAATATTAAAATATATTATCATATTAATGTCATATCATATCAATATTATATGATATCATATATAGATATCAAATTTGCTGACGAAAGTTAACATAACATTTTGTCAAGACATTTAATACAATCATCCAGAATTATTCTGTGCAAGAGATTTTAATAAAAGCAGTAAGTATATGCTGTTTTATACAGGGTGCATGAGTTCAGAGGACTTAAACATATCCAAAATACAACTTGGTACATCGAACATCGGACGGTGCTATTCTGCTTGTTCTAACACACCTTTTATCGGGATTGATAGACAAATGGTAGATGTTTTGTTTTTTGGGTTTTACGTCACATCGACACAGTAAGGTCATATCGCGACGTTCCAGCTTTACTGGTGGAGGAAGACCTCAGGTGCCCTTCCGTGCATTATTTCAGGCACGAACAGGTACCTGAGTAGAACCACCGACGTTCCGTAAGCTAGCTGGATAGCTTCCTAACATGAAAGAATCCAAAGTCCCTGTTGGGATTCGAACCCACAGAGGTGAGGGGCAAGTGGTTTGAAGTCAACGACCTTAACCACTCGGCCACGGACGTCCCCAAAATGGCAAATGGTAAATAATTTCCATGCAGTGAGTTAACTTGAAAAATAAAGCATATATAAATTGTTTACTCATATGATTCAGAATGTATAAGGAAATTCTTTTGAATTTGATATCATCTGATGTTTATCTTATCGTAATCTGTTTGAAAAAAAATAAAAGGCTGTATTTAGCTACATATGTACATGTGATGGGCATAATAATTATATTGTAAAAAAACAACATAACGATGCACTCAAATATTTGTAGATTATGGTGAAAGCGTGAAAGAGTCACTAAATTTACTGAAAATAGCAAATGACTGATTTAATATGGAACGTTTTTATTATTACATGATTTGCTGACAATAAAAAACCCCATCTTTGTTAAAACTCATAACAAAAACAAACCTTAATGTCATGACAAAAGTGAAAGTTGTTTAAGTTTAAAAACTATATAAGAAACAAGATAGCTGGTTTCTGATAAAGTTTTGCCAAATATCTAGTTCATATTAAAAACACGAGCGAGAAAAAACATAAGTTTTTTTCTTCTTCAAAATCAGTATTGTAGGTTGAACATTTGACATGCAACCTCCACCCCACTTTCCACTCTCTCTCTCTCCTACTTTAAAAAACCCATTTGTTTGCAACTTGCGTTAGTATACATCATTTTTTTATTTCTTTTTTTAACAATGACATTATCATGGCAATCTACATTGATCTTTGTTATTTACAGTGTTATTGCATGCAAGTTAAACCTGAGAAAGACATGAGAAAGCTTGGCTGCATTTCTGGGTGTTCTGATACACACAATGCTGCTTGTGGCGGAAACAATTTCACGTCAGTGTACAGAATACTACCTCACAACGGTACGCTAAGGATTACTTTTTGCCGTAGGCTTTAACAAACTTTATTCTGACTCATGTAAATTATTATTTAAAGAACTTCAAACCACTTACCCCTTATCGCTCTTGGATTAAATCACGCAAAGGACTTTGGATTCTTTTCGTGTCAGGAAGTTATCCAGTTAGTTTAAGGAACGTCGATGGTTCAACTCAGGTGCCGCTTCGTGCCTGAAATAATGTACAGAAGTCGTTCTACCACTAGTCAAGATGGAAAGTCGTCATATGACATATTCTGTGTGTGTGTGTGTGTGTGTGTGTGTGTGTGTGTGTGTGTGCTCTCATCTAGTAACATATAGTAAAGTTAAAAAGCAAAGTAATTTAAGTCAATTGTTGATTGGCTGTTAAGTCATGTATTGTATCCGGGAAAAGTACCAGGTACCCCTTCATGACTTTCTTACGAGCGGACACCAAATCGCATCCTTTCGACCCTTTTCGTCAAACTTCAGAAAAGAGCCTCGAACACAATAGAAAGAATACGGTATTTCGGTCCTACCTTTGCAACACTGTCGGGTACTTGAAACGGTGCAGGTTTTCTGTGATACGGTGCTTCAATCCAATATCTAGGAAGGTAAACAAGAAGGTTCGTGTCATTTTATTTTCTATATATTTAGAGAAATGCGTTTTATTAAGTCAAAGAAGAATAGTTGCATGTAACGTAACAATAAATTCACAATAAGATCAATAAGTTCACAATGTATGTTACATATAATATATATATGATTTTTTTACCAAACAAATTTTAAAATTTGAACCGAGCGAAGTGGTAAATGTTTGAAAGTGTCTGCGCCGTTGTCAAAAAAACAGAAAGTAGACAAATTTCGACAAAACAAATTGACAGAACAAATGTTGAAAGTGTACAGATGATTTATACATTTATTATAATGAGCATGAGTATTCACTTCAATATATGTGCCTCTTTTACGAAATTGACTAAAAAATTTATCACTTCTCCACGTATATTTATTTAAAAAAGATTTTAGTAAACATTTCATAAATATCATACGTCATATCATATGTAACATACATTTTGAACTTATTGATCTTATTGTTACATTACATGCAACTATTCTTCTTTTATAATATAAAACGGATTTGTCTAAATACATAGAAAATGAAATGATACGTACATTCTTGTTGTTTACCTTCCTCCATCTTGGATGGAAGCACCCTATCACGCAAAATCTGCACCGTTTCACGTACACGACAATGCTCTTAGAAACTTAACATGTAAACCAATAGTAATTTAATGCTAGGAGTTAAATTTATTCCAATATATCGGGTAAAAGTCCAGCAAAAATAAGCAAATTGAAAAGTATAAAAGTAAACAGTATTTAATTTAGTCTAATGGTTATAGAGACGGAAAGTACAAAATGTCTACATGTCGACATGAATTCAGATTAAGAAATAATTGTACATCGATTGATTATGATTGTGATTGTCAGACATATTTTCAATCATTATTTTACCGAAATAGACTAATAATATCTGTCATATGTTGCGGTTCGGACCGGAATATCCGCCCCGAGAGGACCCGCCCATTGGGCGGTAACGAGGCTTGCCAAGTTACCGCCCATGGGCGGGTTCCCGAGGGACGGATATTCCGATCCGAACCGCAAACATATGTTAGATATTTTTTCTTGCATATTCTGCCATATTATTTCATATTTAAAATGGTTTACCTCAATATGATATATGATCATGGAAATTAAAGTCATTTCCTCCCTAACTATTTTCTTACAATAGCGTATGAACTTACAACTTAAATAACAACAGTGAAATGACGTCATCATAAGCACATATTTCCCTTCTAAAACGACGTCATTTTAACGCGGTTCAGTCATAAAGTGCGCTAAAATGACGTTGTTGTTTGGCACGCGACTCGTCTGGCACCCCCATGCCAGATGAAATTTCCGGCATGGTTAAAACTCACGGAAACGCCAGTCCGATATGCAAGAATATATTTTCCTTTGGATTTCAAATATATATACATTCGCAACACATTACCAAATATTACACACTCTGTTTTTGTTTACATCTAAAACCACGCAGTAGAACTACATTCAATTCGTATTCATTCCGAGGTTATTATGAATAAAAGACGAGATGTACCGATTGGTGGACACCTAAGCAGCACCATCGACCTTCCGTAAGCAAACAAGATAGCTTCCTCACATGAAATAATTTAGTCTCTAGAGGGAGTCGAACTCACTGCGGCAACGTTTTATTTTCGAAATTAAGATTGCCATTCATATACAGGTATACAGCTTTAACTCTGTGTTTATATATTTTTCGGTAGACTCCAGACAAATTCCTGAAAAACAAGAGTACAGCAAAAGCTGCCTTATAGTACATATCAACAGCGAAAAAAATATTACGAGTGTGTATGGATGGAGACGGTGTTCCGTCAATATATGGGTATTTTGTACGTCTGGTGAGTTATTATTTATATAATAGCTATGATATTTGTCAGGTATGACTTACTGTGTAATTTGAGAACCGCTTCCATTGAGTATTATCTCAACATTTAATAACTTTAATGCATTTTGCAAGGCAATCTGATGTACGTAAAGGATTACAAAAGGAGGACATGTCATCAGGGGATAATAACAACATTTACATGTATGTAAAACTTAAAATCAACATGCGTTAATGCCAACGGCGCATTAATTACTTTATTAATTATGCCCCCATTTCGAAAAAAAGGGGTATATTGCTTTGCACTTGTCGGTCCGTCGGTCCGTCGGTCTGTTGGTCCGTCGGTCCGTAGACCAAATGGTTTCCGAGTGATAACGAAAGAACCCTTAGGCCTAGGAACTTCAAACTTGGTATGGTGATTGGTCATGACCAGTAGATGACCCCTATTGATTTTGGGGTCAAGGGGTTAAAGGTCAAGGTCACATTGACCTTGAAAGCAAAAACGGTTTCCGATCAATAACTAAAGAACCTTAAAGCCTAGGAACTTCAAACTTGGTATGGTGATTGGTCATGATCAGTAGATGACCCCTATTGATTTTGGGGTCAAGGGGTCAAAGGTCAAGGTCACATTGACCTCTTAGGTAAAAACGGTTTCCGATCAATAACTAAAGAACCCTTAGGCCTAGGAACTTCAAACTTGGTATGGTGATTGGTCATGACCAGCAGATGACCCCTATTGATATTGGGGTTAAGGGGTCAAAGGACAAGGTCACATTGACCTTGTAGGTAAAAATGCTTTCCAATCAATAACTTAAGAACCCTTAGGCCTAGGAACTTCAAACTTGGTATGGTGATTTGTCATGACCAGCAGATGACCTATTGATTTTGGGGTCAAGGGGTCAAAGGTCAAGGTCACATTGACCTTGTAGGTAAAAACGGTTTCCGATCAATGAACTAAAAACGCTTAGGCCTATGATGTTCAAACTTGGTATGATGATTGGTCGTGACCAGCAGATGACCCCTATTGAGTTTTGGGTCAAGGGGTCAAAGGTCAAGGTCACATTGACCTTGCAAGTAAAAATAACTTAAGAACGCTTAGGCCTAGGAACTTCAAACTTGGTATGGTGATTTGTCATGACCAGCAAATGACCCCTATTGATTTTGGGGTCAAGGGGTTAAAGGTCAAGGTCACATTGACCTTGAAAGCAAAAACGGTTTCCGATCAATAACTAAAGAACCTTAAGGCCTAGGAACTTCAAACTTGGTATGGTGATTGGTCATGATCAGTAGATGACCCCTATTGATTTTGGGGTCAAGGGGTCAAAGGTCAAGGTCACATTGACTGTAAGCAAAAACGGTTTCCGATCAATAACTTAAGAACTTTAACGCCTAGGAACTTCAAACTTGGTATGGTGATTGGTCATGATCAGTAGATGACCCCTATTGATTTTGGGGTCAAGGGGTCAAAGGTCAAGGTCACATTGACCTTGTAAGCAAAAACGGTTTCCGATCAATAACTTAAGAACTTTAAGGCCTAGGAACTTCAAACTTGGTATGGTGATTTGTCATGATCAGTAAATGACCCCTATTGATTTTGGGGTCAAGGGGTCAAAGGTCAAGGTCACATTGACCTTGTAAGCAAAAACGGTTTCCGATCAATAACTAAAGAACTTTAAGGCCTAGGAACTTCAAACTTGGTATGGTGATTGGTCATGATCAGTAGATAACCCCTATTGATTTTGGGGTCAAGGGGTCAAAGGTCAAGGTCACATTGACCTCTTGGAAAAAAACGGTTTCTGATCAATAACAAAAGAACCCCTAGGCCTAGGAACTTCAAACTTGGTATGGTGACTGGTTATGGCCAGCAGATGACCCCTATTGATTTTGGGTTAAGGGTCAAAGGTCAAGGTCACATTGACCTTGTAGGTAAAAACGGTTTCCGATCAATAACGAAAGAACCCTTAGGCCTAGGGACTTCAAACTTGATATGGTGATTGGTCATGATCAGTAGATTACCGCTATTGATTTTGGGGTCAAGGGGTCAAAGGTCAAGGTCACATTGACCTCTTAGGTAAAAACGGTTTCCGATCAATAACTAAAGAACCCTTAGGCCTAGGAACTTCAAACTTGGTATGGTGATTGGTCATGACCAGCAGATGACCCCTATTGATATTGGGGTTAAGGGGTCAAAGGACAAGGTCACATTGACCTTGTAGGTAAAAATGCTTTCCAATCAATAACTTAAAGAACCCTTAGGCCTAGGAACTTCAAACTTGGTATGGTGATTTGTCATGACCAGCAGATGACCTATTGATTTTGGGGTCAAGGGGTCAAAGGTCAAGGTCACATTGACCTTGTAGGTAAAAACGGTTTCCGATCAATGAACTAAAAACGCTTAGGCCTATGATGTTCAAACTTGGTATGATGATTGGTCGTGACCAGCAGATGACCCCTATTGAGTTTTGGGTCAAGGGGTCAAAGGTCAAGGTCACATTGACCTTGCAAGTAAAAACGGTTTCTGATCAATAACTTAAGAACGCTTAGGCCTAGGAACTTCAAACTTGGTATGGTGATTTGTCATGACCAGCAGATTACCCCTATTGATTTTGGGATCAAGGGGTCAAAGGTCAAGGTCACATTGACATTGTAAGTAAAAACGGTTTCTGATCAATAACTAAAGAACGCTTCGGCCTAGGAACTTCAAACTTGGCATGGTGATTGGTCATGAGCAGCAGATGATCGTCACATTGACCTTGTATGTTAAAACGGTTTCCGATCAATAATTAAAGAACCCTTAGGCCTAGGAACTTCAAACTTGGTATGGTGATTGGTCATGACCAGCAGATGACCTATTGATTTTGGGGTCAAGGGGTCAAAGGTCAAGGTCACATTGACCTTGTAGGTAAAAACGGTTTCTGATCAATTAACTAAAAACGCTTAGGCCTAGGAACTTCAAACTTTGTATGATGATTGGTCGTGACCAGCAGTTGACCCCTATTGAGTTTTGGGTCAAGGGGTCAAAGGTTAAGGTCATGACTAGTAGATACTTGATAACCCTTATTAATTGTTTGATCACTGGGTCAGAAGTCATGCATAATAACCTTATCACATGACTAATTGGCTGCTGATAGGGGGCATACATGTTTTACAAACATATCTTGTTTATACAGTATTTGTTCTCTAAGCACTGGCTTCAAATCAAATACTTCACTTTCTTTTTAATTTGTATTTTCTCAATTTCTTATTATGAAGGTTCATGTACATTGTGTAATAGGGTATATTTATTACATAGTACTGGCAAATGTTTATTAACCTATACTTAAACTATAATTCAAATAAACTATCCTAGATTATATCATTTTTAAATACACACACATACACACATAGAGCAAATTTTATCATTTTAAATGATACTTCTACAGGGTTCAATATACAGTTGTTGTTATTAAAAAATCCTTTTCGTTGAATTCGACTTACATTTGCACGGGTCAATAACCAATCATAACTCCTTCCACTCTTCTCCACCATTATTCAAAACAATAACAAAGCAATTCTGTGCTATGATATATAATTCCATGTCTGTATTTATTCATTTATATAATTACAGGATCGTATCTTTTGTTGCGTCAGTATTCACTTCGACCCAAAAATCCATTTGATAATGGCTACCTGGTAGAGCTGACCCGCGACAATTTATGGTTATAAAGATGTCCGACAGATTATATGGCTGTGCTTTTGAAACGGTTTATAGCTTTTATAACCCGATCCGTTATATTGCATACAGAGTGTGTACACATGACCATATAGTTTACCTGACAGACATCTTTATAACGGATTTATAATACAGCATGATAAATAAATTAAAGGAAAACGAAAATAATTAACTTAACCGTGTATAAAATTTATACAAGTTTGCTTTATTAAAAAAGAGAATGCGCGAGGTCTTTTTGCAGCTTAATTGCTCAAATGGCTTGAAATTAGAATTTCTGTTTGGTTGAATTGCATCTGCGAACAATATCGACATATCGGCTATTTCCGTCAATCTCCGAATAAGCTCTAATAAGGAATGTTCCAAAATTAAAGGAGCAGCAAAATTTCGGTACACGATTCAATCGGCCATATAATAGTGTTATGTGATATTGTAGCTATATAGTGTTTACTGTATTTTTAAAAAAAACATGAACTAGTAAAGCGCTCTTCAGAAAATAGTTATCAATTTATACAGTTTAAAGGATTAAAAACGAAATGAACCACGTTCGTAGTAGTAAATTCAACATACATGATACTTTTCGCTTTTTCTTTTACCAATTTGTTTCACTCGATGTTAATTTATCGTTTGAGGAGTGTCTCGTTTCTCGCATTTAAAGTTTTGTAGTATGGTAATGATGATTTTAGGATAAGCAAAAAATGGATGCAGCCAGCAATTGTGGAGCGGATCTGATGACATCTCCAATAACCATCACGATTATCCAATGAAAAGCTACGATACAACGTTCAGTATTATAAAATGATTTACCCTGTTTACATGTACTGTTGCAATGCACGGATTTGTTGAATGTGTGATATAATGTGAATACCTTTCTTGTGTTTGTCAGATTCAGACCAGTCAGTCAAAGTACACGAAGAAAAAAAAAGTTGGAGGGATGCAGCGACAATGTGTTTTCGAAAACATGGTTATCCGACTGGATATAAAGACGTTCGGAATGCGACTTACGTGGGCATATACGGCTGGACAGGGATCGTGTGGAGTGACGTTATTTACAAAGATACTGGTAACTTTTTAAATGATGTTTTCAAAAGATCTTTCTGTAAAGTAAAATTAATGTCAAACGAAAATCGCGAACTATATTTTCAAAATCAGATATAACTTTCAGATAAACTCGTCATCGAATGCGTCCTTTTAAAATTTGAATACTGTTTTTTCTATACAGCATTTTCTGTACAGTATAGAAAAATGCTTCACTAACAGAGTTAAGATAGGTGAAAGCAGTTGAAGCTGTGAAAAAGTATGTGCTCACGGTTCTGCAGCGTTCCACTTTGTCATAGATGAAATATGGCACCGCATTATTTGTACATAATTATGAACTAGCTTTTGTTTAACTTCATTTTAGACAAGGTTTCTGGAAGATAAACTGTCACAATTCAAATAAACGCAATTCAATTGTTTTATGATAAATACTTTTATGGGTAAATAACTAAGACATTAATACGTTCATGTGAAAATAACCAATGACCATGGGAACCGTAAATCAAAATTAAATTTCTTTTGGTCGTGTATGAGGTCTTTATTGTTTTTACTTGTAATCCTAACTTGATCTCTTATGCTTAAAGGCCCATTATGCCACAGAAATACATTTAATTTTATTTCTCAAGTCCTTTTTATTTTTAAAGTCCTGTTATGGATTCCAAATAGATGAATAACCTATGAATGGCCAATTACCTTAACTCTTCTCCACTTTATTGCTTTTTGTAATTAGTACAGTAATAGTGATCTAGTATTTTGTATTTAATTCAAAATACTACTTTGTTTACAGTTTACTACTTTTATGATTAATAAATTCACAATCAGCGCTACTTTCTTCAATTGACAAGCATTCAAAACATTATAAAACACATATTTGCACTTTCTAAATAAGGAAAATTAATTTATTTCTGAGAAATAATGCGCCTTTAAAGGTAATCTTGAAGAGCATGCAATACCTTTTAACGTGTGTACATATTATCAAATGAGATTTAATTTAAACAATGATTTTCTTTTGTTTGACACTGCTGGGATTTTCATTGCGTTGAACCATACCAATATAGGTAACGTATTTGTTGGATTTTTATCTGTTTTTTATCTGTTATTACTTCATTTACTTGAAATATAATTATCTAAATTATGCGATTCAGCACCTTGATTTTGTTTACTCATTTTAGATTTAGAATACTCGAACAATTCGTCAGACATCAGTTATGGGTATTTAGAATATGATAGCTCCGTGGGACATGTTTTAAACTTTTCAAAAGAAGACACAAGAAAATATATTCTCTGCAATGGTAAGGGGTTTTATTAATATGCTAAGCGTTTTGTTCGTATAGATCTAATAATTACGGTGGCATAAATTGACATTCATTTGCATTTTTATTTTCATACAAAAAAACAAGCAAAAAAATACGTATGAAAGACAAAAAAGTTTTTTAAATATATATAATGCAAATGTCACTTTTATGTCACCTTAATATCACATTACAAAATGTGCACAGGGAAATTTAAATTACGCAATTGTAATGCGATCTTTCATCATGAAAAACAAAAACAAACATAAAAACCTAAAGGAAAACTTGTAAATAATTTAGCGACAGCTTTTGTGCCGGAAAGTACAGTTTCTAATACATGTAATGTAAACAAAATTCTCGATTTTTCATTGGTCGAAATGTTCATTTTATCATCGTTAAATACATAATCTACGATATATACCTTTAAGAACCTCGTTTGTCTCCTTACTTAAATAGCGGATATCCGTTGCTTCAATTTGTCACTATTGTAATTGCAAATTTGTTGATTGTTTCTCACTTATAACATACTTATAGTTATTTGTTATCATAACATTAAAACCGTCTCTTACTGTACATGTATAAATATGAGGATTGCACGATTTTACGGATTTTGATACGCTTAAACATCTCTATAACGGTATAAACACGAGCCATCACAGTTGTAATCGCAATTTTAGTAGATTAAGTCGATGACGACTGCTGTCTGGAAATTGGAGAAAAAAACTCCGTTATTTGGTAAAGCAGATTTTTACTGATTTTGTGGAAGTTTATGTGTCTAATAAGTTTTAAGACAGTTCGTAGGTGGAGAAAAATAATCTGACTGGCACACATGACCATGAGTACTAAGAATATCCTTTATTGTATATTCATCTCCTGTGATGGTATATACCGAAATGCAAAAGTATTACAGATCTGTTCTACCGAGATGTAATGCTACAAAAGCTCAAGAAATATTGTCAGAAACTATGCCTTGTAAGTATTTAGGCATGTTCGTCTACTTCATGATAACGCCCCATCACATACTTCTAAGATTGTGAATTAATTTTTTAAGTCTGGGAAGGTTACCGTCGTGCCACACCAACCAAACTCTCAAGATCTTAACCCAAAATAATTAAAAGTTCTTATCTGGTCGTCGGAACAAGTCCAGACAGACCCTCGGTTAAGTCATTAATCAGTATTAATCAGTGCCCCCGAGGTTTACCCATATAAGCGTACAGTGACACATTTCATGATTAAAATTATGTTCAATATATTTCAAACTGCTGAGAATATTGAAAGGATGTTATTTCATTTTGAGTCGGATGCTTTAGAGATATCATAAGAACACATTACATAAATATCGGAAATACACCCTCATAATACGTTAACAAACGTCACTTGAGTAATTTCTCTCAATAAGAATCATTGGAAATATCATTTTTCATTATAACTATTGGTAAAATTAACAAATAAAAATATTAATGATATTATGTATTATGACTGTACACCTAACTGAGTCATAATAAATACAACCTCTAATAATTGACGATACAAAAACTGTATTAACAACCGGAATGGCGTTTGAATAAACTATCAAAACGATCTCTGTTCATTTTTGGCTACTAAGACTTTTTTCATGTAACCGGTGCTTCAATAAAACATTCCTTTGGTTCAGTGGTTTATGGCGTTATGTTACTTTGAGTGTAAACTGCTTTATACATGTAACAGTCTCTCACGTTTCGTGTCAATTATGTTTAACGTTTTTTCACAGATAAACCTGTAAGAACAGATACAACAAAATTGACAACTATCGTTAATGATGATAACACACTCATGTAACTTGTATGTGATTTATGCATTTATCTGTTCCGAGTATTGAAGAAAGTTAAATATAAATTTGATAATCATTAATATTTTTATATATTAAAGAAACTTATTAATTTCAAGCAGTTATTAAAATATCTCATTTTCCGCGATCGATATAACTTACGGAGCAAGAAATATTTTACAACAAATATAGAACATAAAAAAGGTCGAATTCTTCTTTTACTGTCACGCCCCATTGACTCTTTTAAAACAGCCCCCGGTTTTTTTATAACAAACCCAAAAGGTTTTGTAATACATCCCAAAATTTTTTT